ACATCCTACTAAAGTGATCTTAAGTGTTATATTTTAAAAGGAAATCGGTGAATTGAAATGGAACATGCCAGGGCTGGAGATGGAGCAAGAGTCTGAACACAGTGATAAGGATGAACTGGTCAGGAGCATCAGTTCTGTGCACAAAGGGAAGAGGATGAAGCTTGCAAATACTATGCAGGTAACCTTTTCAGGCTTTGAATTGTGTCGGTTCTATGTCCCTCACGTCTGTATGAATGAAAAGTAACACTGCAGTTAAGGGTATGATACTTTCTAGAAATGGAGAAGAGTGTTTAGGATGGTGAGCTGTGTTTGGTTGCTGCTGAACTTAAACTGATGGTTAAACACCCGTGTGATGATATCAGATCTATTGGGATCTCTAGTTTGGTCAGAAAAACTTATTAATGTGTGAGAAAAAATTGCAATTGTCAACAAGTTTGTACAAAAGTTGATTTCTTTTTTTGTAAATTAGATGATCTATAGGTGAGGTATACAGAAGAGAGATAAGGGGGAAAAGAGACTCATTGGAGTCTGAAGAAAGTTGAAAGGGGAATGACCGTGTTTTAGAAGATAGTGCAGGACAATAGGAAGAAAAGTGGAAGATGAGTACAACTAGAAGCTGCACACAGTCTGAGAATGAGCTTGGAATTCAATGCTTTTGCTGGTCTTTTATTCATATTGTTCAGGAACAATGAAACAAGATCTTGTTTTGTCATGATTTTATCTGTTTTGCATTTCTTAATCCCTTAATGCTCATGTCTGCTATTCCTTTAATCAGATCTTTTTATATTCAACCATTGAGATCCATATACCCTAACATTAACAGTTGTTCTGGTTTTGTTTGATGCAGAAATATTTTGCCTTTCAGGAACCAGTTTTTCAAATACAGCTGTAGCTCATACAGTTCATATCATCTTTTTCCTAATATGTTTACTGATACTCTTTTGCTAGCGTGTATTTTTCTCATTTGTTCTGATTTGTTTCCAGCTTCTGAATTTGACATTTGACATGAACTTGTTCTCTTCCCATTATTAGCTATTTTGTGTTTGGCATTAATTGACTTGCATGTGGTTTTGGTTTCCTAGTCTTCTGTTTACTTAATGTCCACTGTGGTAGCATTAACATGGAACCTTGACATCTGAGGTCTTACTCTAGTAAGCTCATTTGCCTTAAAACCTTCTTTATAGTAAGAAGCTAATTAATAGATCTGTCTTGCTCTAAATTTTCTTCTTCTGTAAGCGCCATTTCAAAGTAACTTCATTTGTGCTCTGCCATTCCCTAAGGAATACTCACAAAACTGTTGTTCCTACTTACTGCTTTGCTGCGTACCCGTCTCCTATTCATGGACATTACTAAGGTTGCCTCTTGGTTTTTTTTTCACCTGCTTGCTCTAAGTCAGTATTCATAACTTTACAGATTAGTTGTATGATAGCAGGGACTGGAAAGCAGGAAGATAATAAAAATCTAGAGATTATCAACAATGGTTGGAAATTCAGGGAAAGGGAAATAATGAACAACTAGAAAAGTTTTTGGGCTGTAGGATGTTGAAATATATTTGCAGTGGCAGCAGAAGGAAAAGATGAGACTGAAAAGGGGAAGAATATAAGGCAGAACTAAGAATTGATCAAGATAATGGCAGAGTTCCTTGGTTGGGGTGCTTTTTGTATGAAATTCACTCTCAGAACTGTCCGTCCTGACAAACTGACTAGGGAGGCTCACTGGCTTGTTGCAGAAAAGTATGAATATATAAATATATGTAATATATATACTTGTGTGTATAGTCAGACACAAGTCTGAGTGATACAATGAGAAACATCTTTAATGTATTTCATTACATTAATAAACTCCCATTACACTAATGGGAATTTATAATTTTTAAGCAGGCTTTTAAGTGGGCTGTGAAACGCTTATTAAAAAGGCAATCTTGATGGACTTTAATAAATAAATTGTTGGTTCAGTCCTTGCCTTTTTGTCTCCCATGCTTCTCTGCTTGTGGAAATGAGCCCAGGTATCGGGGTGCTCACCTGCCTCACAGACCTTCAGAGGTCAATGCCGAAGCCCTGGAATGGGAATTCCTGTTCTTTTGGCCACTTGGTGCCAGAGCCCGCTTCCTTCTTCCCGGTCTCGTGGCGACATCTTGTGGAAGAGAAGTGACTGGGAAGAGGGATTTCAGGAGAGGCGATGTCCGTGAATGGTGGCTGAAGCATGCTCAGGGCTTTGGAGGGGGTCTGGTTGTACCATTTCCCTCTCCAGAGAATGTAATAAAGAGTTTTCTCATTAGCTGTGTGCAACGGAGACTGACTGAACTGTCAGAGGCTCTTTGTGTGGACAGTTTTGGGTATCTTTTGACTTTGATTTTTACTGCTCCCTGAAATCCTCCAGCATAATAGAAAAATAATGAGATGGTTAATGTCAGGTCATTTAACACAACATTGAAATAATGTTACTGATTACAGATATATGCTTTTAGAACTTTTTTCTTGGCAACTCTTCTTGACTTTCCTTACACACCTGTATTCCAGTTTGGCAGGTAGCTGATGGAAAGTGAAGAGGGATATCTTGTTTCCAGAAACTTGGTACACACTAAGGGAAGAAAGGAACTTGTGAGCTGTATGCATTCCAACTGCCCTCAGCTATAGCAATTGATAGCGTGAGAGAAGATAATGTAATTCAGATGCTTCTGGTGAAACTTCAGCAGTGATGGTGTGCTTCCTAGTAATTTTTTAAATTATTTTTACTATTATTATTTTACTACTATGTTACTTTTTTTACCTGTGATAAAAATCAACAGCTACTTTAAGTAAACTGTTAGTTTTGAAAATGAAATCATACAATAAGGCATATCTTGATTTACTCTGCAGTAATTTATGAATATGATGCTTACTTCTGTACTAGCATTCCTTCTATACAAATAGTGAGTTTCTGTGACTGGGATACTACTGGAGCAGGGCAAAAGTGTGGAAAAAGAAGGGCTTAACATAAGCCATTTCTCACTAATAACTGAGTTGTGTGTCTCCTATCAGCAGCAAAAGTTGGTAAGTTTTAAAATGACAGTCTCAGAGAATTGCTCTTTGAAACTAAGGCAGGCACAGGAACTGTGAGCTTTAAAACACATGAGATGTAGCTCTATCTACCTAGTTCTAGGCTGTCTTAACTAACTGTTGGGGATAATGAGTCTCTAGGACAGACTGCCATGTATGATTGAATGAAATTTTTAATAAGGTGGTGGCGGGCTCTGAGGATCGTGCTGCAGCCTCGCAAAGGAGCTGAGTTGAGGAAGGAAGTGCCGCGCTGCTGAGTGTGAGGGGCGCAACGGGCTTGTGCCCATCTGAGGCACACACGTGTTATATGGTTAATGTCAGATCCCTCAACATAACACTGAAATAAAGATACAGACTATAGATAGATGCTTTTAGGAAGAAGGTAAGACCAAAGGTGCCATTTCGGACAGCGTACTTCAAGAGATGAGTGACGGGAACTCTTGCATGCATTTCTGGTTTTGTCCAAACAGCTTTTGCTAGTTTTCACTGTGCATGTACCTTTTCAAGTCAAACCACTGTTCCTTCTACAATTAATTGCCCAATCTGGCAACATAACGTTGTACCTCAGTATTTTACGGTATCTACTTCATCGATCCAGAACACAGCACAAAAAGGAAGTTCCTGTTTCGTGATGTGAACAATGTGGTTAGCAGGCTTCCGGACAGGCCCGCGTTCCTCAGGAGTCTTGTGAAACGGTAAACAAGCTCAGATCTGTCATCTGTATTACTTGAATAAGCTGAAAAAAACCAACCAATATTTTGAGCTTTTAGGCTCAGGCTCTTGTGGATTCTCTTACAAATAACTTGAAATTATTACATATTAATAACTAGTAGTAATTTATATTATGGAATTCTTAATTGCTACAGTTTGATATTCTGTGATACTACTCTTCTGTTCTCATTCTATTTTTTCCTAGGTATTTAATATGCTGACTATACCTAATTAGAAATGAAAATACTTAGTGTGAAATGATTTCTTTAGAGGAGGAAAATACAAGACTTAATGGAAGCACTCAACAGGTCATCAGATGTCAATTGATGTTTTCTGCTGAAAAATACACTTGTTTTTAATTCTTAGTTTCACGTGGCTTATGTACTGCTGTTAATTGGAAACACACAAACATGCACACAACTTAACATATCAAGACAAAGTAACTTCTGTAAAAGCCTTTCTAAAAAGGGTTTCGGAGGACAGATGGTGATTGAGTTAGAGCAGTAAAGTGTTTTTTTGAGTTCAAAACTGCTGTCCTTCTGTGTTATCACAAGCTTACAAATTCTCATAATCTGTTCCTTGGGATATTTCCTCTTGCTTTTTTTTTTTATTTTTTTGGAGGTGAGAAACTTAAGTGTTGGTTTACTAACCAAGTAATACTCAACTAGATAAATAGTTTCCCAAAGTCCAGCATGCTGATTTAATACCAAGCTGTCTTGATTTAGGCTGGCCTGAGGGTCTGACTGTTTCTTGCTTTGAACACAGAGCTTTTCTAGTCTCAGTAGTATTATTGAACTCTACTATAATTTTGCACAGGACAGTACCTACTGTTCTTCCCAGAATTTCTCCTAACCTTATTGCCTGCATAACTGAAGTATGCCATTCTCTGTGTGTGTAATAAACTACAGGTGCAATACAGAATATAAGAATGAAGTTGCAAATACGGGGGGGGAATAAAAATTAAGGCTTATACCTGACATACATCTGATAACTTCAAAACTAAATGTATTTTCTGTTACAAAGATCAGAAGTTGGTGTCCACTCTGATCTGACACCTATGTAAATCTTAAGTTATTTGCATTGATAAAATTGATTTTGGGTTATAATGAACAAGAACAGAATATTAACACTGTATGGGGATGAAAAAGTGGCATTACTAAAAACAGTTCTTGTTAGCTTAGCATCCTTAATCTTTTGCAGCATTCATAAGTATAGCATTCTTCCTTTATTGTAAAACAAAGAACACAAACACAGGTTTAAACTTCATTTATTGAAAATCTCAGAGTTTTGCATAATTTTATTCAACATCTGCAAGGCTTAAAACATTTTAATTCTGAATAAAAAGTCCATTAAGAAAAAAATTTATATTCTCCTTTAAATTTTTATAGAATCAAAAGCACTCTACTAAATTTTATTTAGCTGCACGTTTAAATGTCGAATCCTTCACCTATGATATATTCCAGCTGCCAAAGTCAAAGCATGGTTATCTATGATGAACATTGAATTGGGGAGAAAATACAGCTGGAGCTCTTAGTTGCAAATTAACTTCTTCCAGATGAACTCTGCTGACAATTGTTGCGTTATTTTCCTTCTACCAGAGACTGCTATTTGTAATTGGAGAAACTGCTGCAGTTCAGTCTTGTGTCTTTGATCAGAGAAGTCTGCATTCAGTAGCAGCTTAACCTAATACACCGTACTGTTTTGCCACTGGATGTACAACCACTGTCAGAGGGGCACAGCAGAGCAGCTGGTGAACCTAATCCCTTGAGGAGCCCTTAGACAACTTGGCAGAACTCATCTGTTGGAGGTCTAAGCTGAAATCTAGAATCTAGTAGCTTTGATATAAGAGGTAGGTGTCTTAGTCACAGCTTCACAGAGCTGGTTCAGCATTTCGCAGGTGGCTTGTTGCTTCATGGTCATGGTGATGCAAGTGAAGATAGATGTCTTCTAGCAAAAGGGGCAGAGCCCTAAGAATCTTATTTGCCTGTCCCAAAGGGACCCGATCAAAACATTGGAAGTTGACTTTAGTAAGCTTTGGCTTATGCCCTGATATACATATGTGGTATATTGGTACTGGGAGATGTACAAGGAAATGGCAAAAAAAATTATTTGCTTCTTTGCAGAATAATTAAGAATATAGAATAACAGCGGAAAGAGTTAATTTTTCTTAGGCTTTGTTCTGATCACAGAAAAAAGCTTTGTGAAAAATGGCTTTTTTTTTTTTTTTTTGGCAGATTAGAATAGAAAGCATCATGTGAAGAAAGAAGATATGCAGAACCCTAAAGGGAAACAATCTTATTTTGGACACAGCTTTGCAGAAACAAAAAGCAGCTCAGCAGCCTTTGAAGCCCTCTGTAACAAGTTCGGTGATAAATAATACTTTTGCTTATAAAAACTATTGTCTGAAGTTGAAGCTGAAGTGCTCCTTCTGTGTACTGTAGCCCTTGCTAGCATCTGCTTCATTTAAACCAAGTATTTCTTCATGCATCTATTGACCCTGATTTATCTCCATAAAATAACTTTTAATTACAAAGTCTTGAAGTTGCAATTCTGCTGTTCATACCCCGATGACCCAACAATACACACAACACTAATACATATGCTTTTTTTAAAACACTTTTTTTACAAGTGCTTTTTTTTTTTAGGAAAGTGTTTTTTAAAAACACTTTTTGTGATTATATCTTTCAACACATTTATACAGGAAGTTTCAGTGGCACATTGTAAAAATTACTTTGAACTATTAAAAAAATTCTCACACACCAGAGCTTTTGGCAAAAATTCTCCATACCCTCACTATAGTGTCAAAAGCTATTTCATCTAGAAATTATAGATGACTGATTTAAGAATAGCTCTGCCTTAGTTAAGTGATATTAGATCATCAGTTGATCCTAAAATTTGAAGCCTGTGCTAACTGCTCATGTAATTCATGCCTTAGTCATATAAATAGCTAGATATAGAAACACTGCTTGGATGAACTGAGTGTAGTTACACAGCTAAAAGACTTCTGAGTGTGAGCAAAAAGGGAAAGTTTAGGTGAACAGCTTTGGTTTTTCATGCCTGTGTAAACTACCCTATTAACTGCTACATTAGTCATAGACAAAAACTAATAAAAATGGCAAATAAGAGGGATTTTGAGATTACAAAAATTCATGTTTAGGTAATATCACATACTGTGACACACTGCTCCCCCTTTAATAAAGGGAAAGAATAATATGAGAAATGATTTCTTGAAAATTAGCTATTACACAAGATTACTAAGATTTTGCAAACCATACTTCAAGGTGTGTGTACATTTGTTTGTGTATCATGTAGTCACTTGTCTCTTGACTCTCATGTAACAGCCAAAAAGGAGAATAGGGTTGTACAACTACAGGACGGAAGGATTTATGAACAGGAATTGCACCTATTTTCTCCAATTCTTTTCAACACTGACTCAATTTCACATTGATGGTGCTTATTTTTAAAGTGCTGATGTTAGTCATCTGTATATAAAAAGAGTTCTCATTTTGTTCTCACAATGTTAGCCCAGTGTTTCTCCATGATGCCATACAGCAAAAGCTAAGGATTTTTAAAAACAGATAACTTAGAAGATAAATGACAATAACTACAGACAACCCTTGTGGGCCCCAATCTTGTAAACATTTAGGCACATATGTAAATTTACTCAATGATTAACAGCAAATAAACCAATGTCTAAGTTACCATTTAAAGTTTTATGCGAACATGAAAAAAAGGATAGTATTAACATTTCTTTGCATATGCACTAAGCATCCTGTGCACTATGCATAAGTTAAGTCATTAACAAATACTATAAGTACAAAAAAATAGTTAGTAGTTCTTGCAAAAATGGAAGAGCTTGGGGCAAGGCATTCTGTCTGTTTAAAAAAAAAAAACAAACAACAAACAGAAACCAATCAAACAATACAAACAAGACCACCACCAAAAAAACAACCAAAAAGCCCAACATGTATTGAAAACCTGATGTGTACTCCCTGTTCAAAACAATCTGAAAGGTCGTATTTTCCCCCCCTTTACTGTAGCAGTTTATTGCTTCCCCTCTCCCCCCATACCTGTAACATTGTTATGATCACACTGAATATTAAGTTCTACTTTTCCTCTTATCTTCAAAGAGACTTTTTAACATGTAAACCTGAACAGCTGATACCACCACCATTACTCCCAAGTTGACCATGGACCAGAAATTCACTCTGTCAAAGTTGCTTTCTTGTATATTTCGGTCACGAGCCTCAAATGCTCTGAGCAGGGTCTGAATCTGGACGCTCTTGCTTAATCTGGCTTTGACACTGTTGATCGATTCCTGGCAAGTAACAAAAGAGTATTTTTAGAAGGAAAAAAGACCAACTGAATTAAAAGTATAGCTTGCAACACATACAAAATGCTAATATTGTATTACCACTTATAATTTAATTTCTTGCCAAGTAGACAGTTAATTTCACTTTAAAATGTATACCTAATCACAGAGTTTTCATTAATTTGTTTAGCCTGTTTATTTTACATCACCTAAATTAAAGCTTAATTACCACAGCATTAAGGTTCTATAGTAATTTGGTTTTCTCCTTTTACAGGCTAGGGAAGTGAGAGAGAAATCAAACCTAAAATAATTTTTTTAGTATTCCGTGTATCTTGGAGAACTGCGATTCCAGGTATTCACACAAGTAAAAAACAGTGCTTTCTACAGAACTAGTCTCAAAACAAGTCATGTAGTAGCAGGCAAATGTAGGGCTTTTTTTCTGCTGGATAATCAAATTAACGCAGTTTTTAATGCAAACTACCATCAGGACTGTAGCTATAGCAAAAGAAAAGTAGTATGGTAATGTTGTATTCCCATCTTCTTTCTATGTTTTCACTGTAGTGGCTATAAACTGCTGCTTCAGCTTTGATACTGAAGCAGAATTTTGACAATAACTTGTGAATAGGACAACTGGAGGTCCTACAAAGGACACACAGGGTGTCTCACGGAACCAGAGGAAGTACAGAAATGCTCTGGCCCTAACAGAACTCTTTGTTCCATGTTTACATGGAACATGGAAAGTCAATGCCTGGTCCTATAGTCTGTTCAAATTTTATCCACAACATAATGCATAGTCATAATCTAAAAGCTGATCTCATGAAGTGCTGATTTATGTTCTTGACATTATTATGGGACCCTGAAGTAACTTCAGTGACAAAAGTAATGTGTGCAGTAACAGGAGGCTACAAATTAAAAACCAATGAAACCAACCCCAAAAAAGGTTAAGCCCAGCAGTAACATTTTCTCCATGGACATCTTCTCTGTTTGCTTATTTAACAAATATTTCAAAACATCTATTTTGGAAGCCAAATAATTTTATGATTCTACTAAAGTTCATATGTTACACAATAAGGAACATCAACACCATAAAAGAGCATTAAAACTAAGACACAATTGGGGAATTTTCCCCAGCAAATATGTTGTTTATCTTTAAGGAGTAAAACCACTAAGTGTTATGTAAGTCCTCACAGAACTTGCAAGTAAAGTAATAACTTGACTAAGTAAACAATGGCATCAAATACTAATGTTAACTTTACAAAAATTACCTACTTCATAAGATCTGCAAGGCTCTCAAATAAAGACAAATTCTGTATTTCTTTTTGTTTTGGAAGACATAGCAGTATGTACACAAGTAGCTGTAAAATCCATTCAAGTACTGCTTGTTATTAGTGAGAGGGATTTTCTTCACAATTTCCTCCATAAACTTTGGTTTTTCTAATTGTCTTGATTGCCAGTTTTAAAGAAGATCTGGCCAGCTTTTCAGATTCTGTGTTTGGTTTTAACTATTTAAAAGTGTATTGTATACACCTATAAAAGATCATAAACATGAAGTTTGTTTTGTTTTTTAAAAACCTGCATTTTGTTTATTGCAGTAAATAGAATACAAGCATTGTCATTCCCTACACCAGTGCATTCAGTAAGTGTTTATGGATGTTGGTTTGGGTTGGTTTTTTTGGGGGTGGTTGTGTGTGTGTGGTTTTTTATTTTTAAGATAACAGGTATCTGTAAGTACAAGGAAACAGCCAGTGGCTTACTGCATCCTACCAAGCACTAAGAACAGTGGTACAGGAACAGCAAACGGTCCTCTACTTCTACAGTAATCTCAACATTTAATGATCAGGAAAGGAAATAAAAGCCTTGACTCAGCAATAGTCTTCATCCTACATCAAATAGGGTCAGTGTGCAGTTTAAGCAAACGTTACCATTCATAGAATGTCTGCAAAGGTGAACCCTTGCAGTGTAGTACAGATTAACTACTGTCCTGTTGATGAGTTTGGAAAGATGAAATAAAATCTTGGGGGGAGGGGGGAACTTCATAAAGTAATAAATATATTGTTGAAGACAGAAATACTAATCCATCTGCTGGTTGGGCCACTTGTGTAAAGATGGAAAGAGGAGGCTAACACAGTACTTTATTTTCTAACATTGATAAAAATCCATGCAGTGTTTCCAGCTACATAACTGGGATTAAGCAATACTTTAATACTATAAATTTTCATTCTATTTCATTGCTGCTGGGGAAAAGTGTCCCATTTTAGCAGCAGGAAGAAAGGAAGCTGAATTGGAAACAGAGTGACTTTGAATTGGCAGTGTCTTCTTGCTGATTCAGGGTCTATTCTGAAAATATTCTCAAGTTTCTGTATGGAAGCAAGAGATCTATGGTGCTAGGCTTCATGCATCAGTAAAAGCAATATACAGAACTGGAATTCCGTATTTCCAGGATGTTGCACCAGACCAGATGCAGGCGGATTAGCCAAATGACATAGAGCTTTTTTTCTGAATGCTCTTATATTGAAAAGAATTAAAGATCAAGTACTAACCAGAATGTCTTCCAATTTCATATCTAGGAGATCTGTGCCTGTAACGTACTTCTTCCAGTCTTCCTGATCTTGTCCATCTTCTCCCATATTGTCCAAGATCAGTTCAAAGAAAATCACCTTTTCAGAAATGGTACTGAATGTGTTGTCAAAACAGAACATGTAATCCCCATCTTCAGTTTCCACCCTGTGTATATGAGCAAAATGCTATTAAAATAACTACACTTCTTGTGCCGGTTCTCAGAAAATGAGGTTTTGTAAGTAAGCTTTCCTCTTTCAGACTGACAATCAAGCACTTAGAAATAACTGAATAAGCTTTTTATATAAAAATAAGAACTCTAAAGACACAGATTGCATAGTCACAGCAAAATAAGCCCACTGACTCTAAAGGCTTAAAATGATGAAGAGAGCGGCTTACTTTGATTTTCTTTATTTGGATTTTGATTCATTGTTAATCATTACAGAAAAAGCTATAATGAGTGGAATTTTTATACTCTAGTAAAATTACGATAATTACCGGATATTTTCATAAAAGGACTGGAAAAATAGGGGACTTTTCAGCTTAATATTTATATAACTGTCAAGATCTTTTACTATTAGATGTGGAGAGCTTTTTCAGTTCCACAATAATTATTTTTGTTCGCTGACCATTAACAGCTATCATTAAAACAAAAATATCCTTCACTTCATGGTAACATCCATGTAAAAGCATTTAATGCTTGGTATTCAGTAATTGGTATTCTCAAACTGTCCTATTAGAAAGTCTTCTGTAATACCAAGGAATAATAAGTACTCAACCTTTATTTAATTGAAGAAACCAGAAAAGAACTTATGTAACACTTGCAAGTTTGAAGACTTTAAACTTACGTATGAACTCCATCTGATTTTCTTTCATCAAAAACGAGAGTTTCACCTTTTGGAGACAGTAGATGAAAATCAACATCTAATCCTGCTCCATCTAGAACCTGTGAAACAAACAAACAAAAAATCCCTCCAACCAGTGGAATTCCATTTGCATTGCTGATGGCAACATTTTTAGGGAGGGCAAACACAAGGGAACTGACACAGAAAGAATCTGAAAGCTAAATCTGCTTGTATGAGTTCACACCAAATTAATTGGAAACAGATTAAAAACTGGTTCAACCCAAAAGCATTTTAGCCATTTCAACTAAATATGAACATGCTAGGCTGGGCTTCTGTTGAATTGTTTTTAAGAATGCATACAATTTTATCAATAGGCAGAGTCAGACAACCTGTAAGACAACCAACAGACGGCTAAATCTAGGATTTCCATGGCAGAAATCATTGATGGGTAAGCCCCAGCACTGGTTCAGTGGTGGAAGAGAAATTTTATAACAAAGATCTGTCACTTTTATGTATATAAACATATGTTTAATTGTACAAGAACACAGTCTATGCAGTGTCATCCCCAAGATCTTTTTGTTGGGTGAATTAACAGTGTAGAAGACAGGATTAGATGTTTTATGCCAATCAAAGGTGTGCCACAGACCTTCTCAGTTTTTAATGCAGATTTAAGGCCTGAATTCTCCCAGGGCATTCTCATCTCCCAAAGGTAGAGGGAACTGAAGGCATTTAGCTTCCTCAGCTCCTGAGTGTATACAGTACTACAAAGCTGTGCTTCTTTCACTGTATAACGTGGCGACAGGTGTATCACCACATCTGTTATGTTGTACATATTCTCCACAGGGAAGACAGTAACTCCATAAGGGGCCAGAGATAACAATTTTTATGACATTACTTAGGTACATGCTAGGGGAATTTTGTGTTTGCTTGTTTTCCAGTGAGCTATTGGCATATAGCAGTCTGCTCCTGCTGAAATTGAGGGCAAAGTTTACACCGACTTAAAGTGACACTGGAGACTTACCAAAAAAAGAGGAAGGACAAGGAAAATACGTAGCTAGCAGCTGATCAAATTAAAAGCTACACATAGTAATACACCTTTAGGGCTATGACACAATCTAACCACCCGGAACAAACCTGTGTATCAGCATAATGTTCAATGCATGATGTTTGTGGAGAATGACCTGCATCTTTACAGTAAATATTCCTATGCTTTTGCCACTAACAATCCAGGATAATTAAGTACAAAATAAATCCATTTCCAATAACATACAGAGGTCCTTTTCCATACATTCAGATACAAAGATGGATCATTGCTGTTAGCAGTAGTGCTGAGAAATTTATGCCTGATAAATTCACTGTTTACACATTAGTTTTCTCTAAAATATAATTTTTGATTATGATTAAAATAAAGTCCTACTTAGTGCAAAATAAACTCCTACTTTGCTTAGACAGGGCTCTGAAAAAGACTTGAACACGTCAGTCTTTCATTCTTGTGCAGTTCTGCGTGTAACAATAATTAGAAAATAATCAGGAATTTCAGCTTTATGTGTTTAGTTGGGTAATGGGGCGGGGGGGGAAGGGTGGTGAAGAGAGAAAGATCCCGGCCAATTCTGAAGTACAGCAGCAGGATGGGAAAATATTCACTGTGGCTGTTCCAGTGAAAAAAACCTCTTTAAAGGAAAGAGAGAAAAAAAAGAAAATTTAATGAAAAATAATAATAAAAAAAAGAGGCCGAAATCTTTCCCAGGGGAACTCGACTCTTCCCAAAAAGGGCATCGCGACCTTAACGTCAGCCCAGTGAAACAAGCCTGCTTTTGCTAAACTCTCACCGCGGAGGTGGTCAGAAAAGGCGTTTCCCCGCAGGACGCGGGGGCAGCGAGGCGGCCTCCCGCTCACCGGGGCAAGGCCAGCGGGGCCACCGGAGCCCCTGCCCGGGCAAGGGTAAGCCCGGGGTTGCCGTTGCATGCCCGCGGAACCTCCGTGAAGGGGCCGGGTGTGTGTGTGTGTGGAGGGGGGGGAACCGGCGGCCCCGAACCCACCTGGTACTCCAGCTCCAGCGAGGCCTCCTTGCGCATGGGCTGGTAGAAGCACTCCCTGCGGCCGGCGGGCAGCGTGAAGGTGAAGTCGCTGTCCAGGGAAGGGGTGAACTCGGCGGCGGCCCGCGGCGACAGGAACAACCCCAAACACCCCAAGAGCAACCCGGGCCACGGTACCGGCACCATCGCGGCGGCGCGGAAAGGGCGGCGGGCGGGGCCGGTCCCGCCGCGCAAGGGGAAGGGGGCGGGTTGCGCATGCGCGGTGAGGGCCCGGCGGAGAAGGCGGGTCAGGTCTCTCAGGGCCCGCGGTGTTTGAAGCGGGGTAAGGAGCGGGGTTTCTGCGGAGAGGGAAGCGGGGTGCTGGGAGTGAGGGGGGGGCTACGAAGCGCCGTGGCTGTTACCGGCGGGAATCTCCTCAGAGACACCCCCTCCTTTCTCCTTTCCCCTCAGGCGTTGGTTTCTCTTGACCGTTTCCCATCAAAATTACCTCAGGCCTCACCTGCGAAGTCTGATCTGCTGTGGTGAAGGCCTTCCTTCTCCTCTGGCTTAGTTGCTCGCCTCCTCTGTGCAGCCAAGGCCTCGCTGCTCTGATTTATTACTGTTGTTGTTATTATTATTATTATTATTATTTTATTTTTAATTTCGCTGATCAGCGAGGCACATTTTGTGCATGGGTTGTGTATGTGCAGGACTTGGGAAGTGACTGAGGGGCGTGTTGCAAGAGGCTGCCGGCAACTGATGGCGTAGCAGGTTTTGCCAGTTTTTTTTTATAAGTGGTGATTCATGCAGCTTCTCATGCTTTGTGAATGCGTACAGAATTCTTTTTCTCAAAATAAAATAAAAAAAAAAGACGATTTGTACAGAGTGGCTTTTATCTAGTGAATGTGGGAAGAGGTAGTGTGCAAAGTATATTTCAATATTTCCCTTTTTGTATTTTTCTCTTTTTTTCTCTCCTATTTTCTATCTGCCTTATTTCGGTGTCTTCAAAAGTATCTTTGCAAGTAGCATTCACATACCTTTAACAACATTTTACTATTAAATATTATTCTAGCCGTATGTGTGGTACGCAATGGAATACACTATGTGGACTTGTGCTAAAAGTGCAGCTGATGAAGACCTGCTTGTAAATTGGCAGTCATTACGGAATCAGCTGAGGAGAACTGAAAAATATCTACAAACAGTAGAAGAAGAGCTTTCCATGTAAGAGTGTGTTTGGGAATGGGAACAGCCTGTCTCTTGTAACATAAATCTTATTCAGTGTAATGGGTTATCACAAGTAGCTCGTTTTGTGCTTTTCTTTTGAATACTCTTTATGATTAATTTAAAAATAATAAAGAAAAAAATAATGTAGCAACTTTTTACTCTCCCTCCCAGGACTAGTACAAGTGAACGTTATGGCCAGTGCTTTGATGAAGGGGTCGACTTCACTCTGGAGGACCTTGTTCAGCCTAATTGCAACCACCAAGGCTTTTCCAACCGTAAGAAGAATGCTGGTAAAACATCTTGCCAGGATTTTCAAAGAAAACCTGAAGTAAATATTGTACTTCATTACTTATTTGTATTATTCTGGTTTCCAATCTTTGCTATGTTTATGAATATTTTTTTGCTTTTAGGGCTTTGAGTTGATACACTGTAGAATCGGGCAATTATATCAGCAGAGCACTCATAAACATAATATGATTTCAGTACATCTGTTCTGCAGATGTATATATTGCTTACATATGCATGTGTGTTTATATATAAAAAACTTTTTTTATGTCTAGTCTTACTCAATATCTACAAATTCTGATAAAACCGTGGAAGAAAATGAACGTCTTAAGAAGAAGCTGGATGCCCTTCATGAGCAAAATGCATCTTTGGTTTCTCAGAACCACTGCCTAAAGAACAGAGTGGAAACAATGAATTTTGAATTGCTGCAGTCAAAAGCAAGAGTATGTATCTTTAATGTATTCATCAAAAAGAAAGACAAACCCTGAAGCCCCAAAAACGCCTCAGTGACCATGACTTTTGAGTCTATAATTCCAAGCAGATAATGCTGGTTTTTCCATCATGTCTTAATCTATCTCAATTTAGTATTTGAATTTTAAAGTTTAATATTCTATTTTTCATAATATTCAGTGTTAATCTTGGAACAAAATAGTTTGGAATCTATTTCTCTGTGAGCAAAACAGCAGTATTAATTATGAGTTCTATCTATTCATGTTCCAAGGTTTAATCTAAAGCCAGTAAGTCACAAAATGAGAAATACATTATGTAAGAAAATACTTCAATAATGTATTTAGTACTGTACATTCATGTGTCTGAGCTACATTAGGACTAATGTGAATAATAAAGGCACAGGACTCATTTGTGTATGAAATGAAAAATGTTCACCTTTCAGGTTGGATTAATATTGCTATATTGAAAAAGTGAAGGTGAGTTAGAAGGAAATATTGTGTGATTTAATATACATTTGTTTGTACAGTTTTTTTCAGGACAACTATATTATCATAGAATCATAGAATGGTATGGGTTGGAAGAGACCTTAAAGATCATCAATTTCCAACCCCCCTGCCGTGTGCAGCGACATCTCCCGCTCGAGCAGGCTGCCCAAAGCCCTGGCCAGCCGGGTCTTGAACACTTCCAGGGATGGGACATCCACAACTTCTCTGGGCAACCTGTTCCAGTGTCTCACCACCCTCACAATAAAGAATTTCTTCCTAGTATCTATTCTAAGTCTCCCCTCTTTCAGTTTAAAACTGTTACCCAAATATTCCTATATTTGGTTTATATGTAATGTTAATAAAATACAGCTATGCTTATTGTTTAAGAAATGTTATCTCCAAGACAGTACAAATAAGTAGATAAACAAAATGTTTGATTTTGGCGTCAAAAGAACAAATAGCGGAATGTAAGCTTTTGGGGAAGACCATGAGACAAAATCAACATATAACTATGCCAGACAGCATATCACACCAGAGTGGTGCTAAGGAACTGGAAGAATGTTAAATAAGCAGAAAATTGGAGGTCAGTTTGTGTAGGTGAACAAGCATCTTCTACAGCAAGGTTAAGAGCACTGTATCATTCAGTAATCAGATTGTTCTTATGTGTCTAACCTGAAGGTATATATACAAGTGTTAATCAAACCCCAAATATATTTGCATTTCAGATTTCTTATCTTGAATCAACTTTATGCACACATTTAGTCAGCGTTCCGAAGTTGAAAGAACAGATTGTAAGCCTGGAAGCAGAAGTTTCAGCTCAAGATAAAATTCTGAGGTAAGAAATGTACTTTTAAATCAACAATTTAACGTGGTTTGCTTGCTAGTCCAATGTCTTTGTCGGGATGACGTAATTACTGGTGCTGTGTGGGTAATGTAATCTGGGGCTTGAAACTTTCATTTCGGAGCCATATATAGGAGGAGGAAGGTGTTTTATTTTGTACTGAATGCATATAAAAAAATGGAGAAAAACATAATAAAGGCTGGCAAAAAAAAATCAGTTTATAATGTATGCTAAACATGAAAGTGCCCTTAGAACTGACTAGCGTGACTGTATGCTACATGACTGCATATCCTTAGTAAACAAGTATACATGTTTTCAAACATGACTCTGCAGCATGTAGCATAAAGGATTCTTTCTTCATAAATGTATTGATCAAGGCAAACAGCCACGTGAAGCTAACATAGCGTCCAGAGTCTGTCAGGAAGACATACCTGGCTGTCAGTTTATCTTACAGCCTCTTGCTATGTAATATTCAGTTAATAGCTCAATAGTCTGTCTTCACAACATAAGTAAAAATACTTATATTTAAGTTATATTTTAGTGTTTCCCATGTGACCAGTCATACCTGCTGTTTCCCATCCTGACCAGTCATACTTATTGCTAGAAAAATGGTGATGTCAGTGTTCAGATCTCATGACACAAAGTCAGCTGTCTGGGTCCTTCGCAGTTGTGATACCTGATGCCTATTGATCAGGTTTGGACACCACTCCAGACTGCAGACATACTCCCAGGGAGTTTGGAGACTCTGGGTGTTCCCAACCTAGTTGTGAGAGTTGCAGCGTGTTTCACTAGTTCTCAAACATCGTATGCAGAAAAGAACAAGAAAAATCTACCTTCTTTACAAAAAAAAAAGTTCCTATTTTTTAATTTATGCTTTGTTTATTTGCTAGAGATACAGAAGATAAACTGGATCAAAGCCAGAAAGCAAGAATGGAAAGAGAAGACATGTTGCAAAGATATAAAAAAGACTACAAAAATCTGAAAATGGAGTTACTTGAACGAAGCAAACAAGGAAAAAGGTAGCTAAGTAATTTTAATAAAATGAATAGTGAATAATAGTGCATGAGCGTTTGTTTCCATGGGCAGATGTTTACTTTGTGGAATCAAATTATTTCTTTGCTTTAAGGATGTTATTTTTAAAAAAAAAAAGGGAAATCCTGTGTGAAAACACTTATTATTTAAATAGGCACTTCTAAAATGTTGAAATTTGCCAGTAGTTGCAGGCTGAAATCAAACTGGTTACTAGTGTACATCACCTGGTTTTTCCCTTCAGAATAGATGTACTTCAATGGAGAGCTGAAATGTGACCGGAACGTATTTTTCCTGAATTATTTTTGACTTTGTCTTGCAAGAGCCTACAGCATATGCTCAGTATTCAGCAATGCTGAGTGCTGTACTTCTGGGATTGGTGTGAGGAAAGTGGTAGAAGCACAACTCAATCGAGAGAACATTCTTATATTACCCTTAATCTTACCTCTCTACACGGTACTGTTGAGAAGGGTGCTGTAATTCCATCCCAATCCACATTTCCCTTTCCTGTTGCCTCCTTTAGCCTAGTGATTGTGTGGCTAGTGGGAGGGTTAGGTGATTTCTTTTAACTGTTTGAAGTTACCATATGCAGTCCCATTACCTCCAAAATTTAATTTCAAAGAAATAAGAGGAGTAAATAAAAAGATTCCTGCCTGCACGATTTGTTCAACTGCCTTACCTTGAGCAAAAATTCACTGACTTAATGACTTGGGAAAGCATTTCTTGAGCCTTTTGTATGCAAGCCCCTTGTTTGGCTTGTCTGTCTACCTGTGAAATTACCTCTAACTTTCCTATAGCTAGACAAACGTAAATTCTGTGGCACTTGCGCTATGTTCACTGCTCATTCAGAGCATGTGGGGTTGGAAGTAGCTGTACTTAGTTACTAGCTGCAAATGTAAATGTTTCGGTACTTTATTAAAATTGAGCTTCTGCCAGGTGTTAAAGGCAATGTATGCTGTTATGGTTACTATTAACAATTATTACAGTTTGCTTTCAGTCAGTAATTACAACCGCTTACTATTCTTTGGCCAAGCAAACTGAAGTGCTTTGGACTAATGCTATTTTGTTTGTTATTCTGAAATCCCTTTATCGCCTTCTCTGAATACTTTTGCCATCCCCAAAAGGGGAATGGTCCTCAGACTGAGGAACACCCATCTGAGGGTAGGCTGGACTTTGATGAGGCGCTTGCCCCATCCCCACAGTTTCCTTAGTGAAATAGAAACAGATGTTATTGAGCAGCAGTAATTCTTGTGTACCTGTGCTGGGTGTCCTGAACAGACTGCATACCTGAGCTTTCACACAGTTACTGTTCCAGCTCCTTCCACAGTGAGTAGTGCTGGGGGAAAGTTAAGAAAGGGGAAGGGACACAGTAATAGAGCAAAATAGTAAGCAGCATGGTTGTTGCTCTGAACAGTTGCTCACCTAATACCATCCCAATCTCAGCTTCCTTTGCTATTATTGATGCCATCTCTCCAGTATCCTCCAAAGAATTTATCCTTCAATTAGTTTCTGTCAGTCTCACCATAATTGCATCACAGGAGTGTCTTCAGTGTCAAAATCTTTTCTAGTTTTAAGGAGCACTGCTATCTATCACGGTATCCCAGTCCCTAAAATGGGCTTTTACTGATAGGGACAGGAGGATGATTTGAAACAAACTCTTTTTGAAGGGGAATCAAAAGTGTTTCTTTCTACATTCTTAGTCTTATTAGAATTTTGTTTATGTTAATATGGAAAAAAGACATTTAAGATTAAGTTATGCCTCATGAAACTTTCTTTATCTAGGGCTTGGAAAGTTGGAAGAAGAAAGGAAGTTACCTGGAGCAATTAATTTAGTAGTTGTTTTTAGTAACTGGAGGAGATGGTTACATAATGACTGAAATTTGTGATTTTTAAAATTGGTATACTTTGCAGAGCCGAACAGCAAAGAAATGAAGCTCTGTTGAATGCAGAGGAGATGACAAGAGCTTTGAAAAGGTGTAAACAGAAAATGACTGAAAAATTAGAAAAGGTAAGATTTTTTTCCTTTGCTTGTTTGTGCCATGCTGTTAGGATATTGCTTCTTCCAGTAAGGTGTTGGTGGCAAAGTCCTAGGAGAGGGGGGACAGGGTAAGCAACTGTTTGTGGTGATAACTTCAGTTATCCAGTTTTAAACTGTCTCTGCACAATCTGGACAGTCTGCATCTTTGAGGTATCCAAATACTGCTGCTGTTTCTTCTGTCTCTTGCTTACCAGCTGGGAATTTTACTTTTTAAAAGTACTTTTACTTCTTTTAAAAGTACTTCTTTTAAAAGAAGTCTTTTGACTCCATTTGTATAACCTGTTCAATGAGCTAGAGAGACATGAGCTAGAGAAAAGCTAAGATGAAAATGAAGTCATCTCCCAAAGTTCCAGTGGTCAAAATTATTAATGCTTCCTGCCTTGTGGGAGGAGAAAATACAGTTAGCTCTTACAGAGTATTTTTATTTGAGTAGACTTCTTTCCTTGTGGAAGGAGCTTTTAGTATGCTCTAAACTATTAAACCAAAATAACATTACTTTTTTCCTAAATGACAGAAAAAAAAGAAAACTTATTTGCCTCTCTCCTTTTCACAGCAGTGAGAAATAGAATTACCTGCAGGCTTACCAGAAAGAAAAAAAGAAACAGCATAGCATTTATACTATTCTTCAAAAAAGCCTGTTGGCCATGGAAGCTTAGAATATTGTTGTACAGTAACGCAAAAAAATTGCTTTTTAAGGTTAGAGCTGAAGAAGTTGTCTTGGGAAAACGTTTAATTAATTGTGAAAAAGAAAAAGAGAAGTTGAATGAAAAGTGTGTCAGCTACAGAAAGGATCTAGACATCCTAGAAGAGCAATTAAGGTAACGCAAAGGCTTTTAAATATCTCTGTACACTTATTTGAGAATAAATTGCATGTTACAGCTGTCACTGTGAACGTGCTGCTCAATTCGCATAGTTCAAACCAAATCAGGACCAGCATCAGTGAATACTTAAGATCAGTTATAAGCAATAAACCAGACAAACCATAATACTAAACAGGTAAAAAAGCATTAGGATACACTTACAAATTTCTGAATTATGTTCTATAACTAATCCATAAAAGTTCTAATCCCACATGCTGCCATGTATTCACAGTAACAAGCAACACCCCACCCAGCCTTCTTGGAGCACAGGTTCCCTTGCTCACAGGCTGCTTCTGTGGGAGATACGGGAACTCTGGCTTTCTGTATACCTCTTGTGCTGCCTGCAGTCTGCCAACCTGACTGCCAAGGAGAAAGCACCCTGTGAGTTCGCTTACACCCCCAGATGCGAGTCCTTACTTGTTGCACACCATTTCGTCGGTCCCTAGGCTAAAATGAAGGATTCTCTTGGCGTCCAACGGGGAGGCTGCACTCAGGCCTGAGCAGAAGTTGTGATGCTGGCTGGAACTCCTCAAAGTGTCAAACCAGGTTTTGACTGCTACTCTGTTCCCACTCCAAGGTCCTTTCCACCCTTGCAAATTTTTATGCTCCTTGTATGTTTATTTTTCAAGCTGAACCCTGCTTGGTTTCAGAAGTCTTGTGGTAATTCCATCATTACTTTAATAAGGAAAGACAACCATCAGCTGGTGTGTAGCATTATTAGGTTTGGACAAACACCTTCTCAGACAGTTTTGGGTATGCCATTCGTGCACACTGCCCATACCTACATTCCTGTCTTAACAAATGTTCCTTAGGCCATTTTGTCAAGGGTAGGCAGTGTGTGAGCACCCTTACACTACCTTGAGCCTGTTTAAAAGCTCCCTGCTGCTGCTGGGGGTCTTTACCCTAGTGTGCCCTCTTTTCTCTGTAAACTTGCTCTGGGTTTGGCACTCGCACATCAGGACCTTTGCTGAGCTAATTCAGTTTGCAAAATCAACAGGTATTTTAAAAAGTGAATAGTTTGTGATGGGCTAAAAATACACTTGGCTCACTGTACGGTCATACACAAGGGGAGAGAAGAAATAGGATGCCTCCCTCTCTTGTTAGTAGCAGAATGTTTGTTTGACTAGCTAGGTCTTAGTACGTTATCTTCAACCATTGACATTTTAGATAGTTATGTAGTTATTTTCTTCTGTTCTTAAATTTCCTTGCCTTCAGCACAGTTAAAGCCACCTTGATATGTTTCCTATCAGTGACTCTGCTGATAGTGCTTAAAACTTAATAAAGTTGCTTAAGAATGAGAAGTAGTTTATTCTGTCCTTTTGTATGCTCGTAGCAGTTTGCATCTGGTCCTTAAGAACAGTATAAGCTTAGTAAAGCAGTGAAAAGTTTTCTATCCTTTGTATAGAGCTAATCCTAGTTTTACCTAGACAGGTAAACTAGTGAAACCATATAGTTATGGTGCGTTCTTGTAGTACTTTTAATAATGAATATCCTATTCCACTTCTCTATGTTGAGCTATACCTTTTAAATGGATGTACTTTTTTAGGCAATTAAAGGAAGAGAATCGTAGCACAAAAGAAGAAATTAAGACTCTAGAGGCAAAGAATGATGAAATGGTGTCAATGCTGACTCAATCTGATCAGAAGATCATTGAGCTTGAGAATGAACTTAGTGAAAAAGAAATAATACTTAAAGAGAAGAATGCTCTAGTAAGTGAAAACGCAGAGCTGAGAGCACTTACTGCACAGCAACAAAGCCGCTTAAAATTATGCCATCAAGAAATTGAGAATTCAAGGGAAGAGCTCAAGATACTAGAAACCATTATTTCCCAGTTGTCTCTAACTTCATCTGAAGAGGTACTGTAATGGGTATATCCTTACAAATTGCATTATGCATCATAAACAATTCTAACTGACATTGTATGGTAATCCTGTAATGTTCTTCAGAAATAATCTGAGTAAAATATCTTTGGTTTTCAAGATGCATAGACGAAATATTTTCTTAATTTAAATATTTTACTTTTGCTTTCTCATTCAGGAACAAGGACTAGGTGCTTTGAAATTGATTAATTAGCAAGCATTTAAAAACACACTTCCTGTTCCTCTGTTCTATGTATTGGTTGTTCAGATGTAGGTATATTCTCTAAAACATGATGTCCTATTATATGATGCTGAGGTTCTCAGTAGAATAGTATGACATTTTCCATATGGCAGACACATTACGTCAAACAGCCAATGTGTCAATCTCAACAATGGAGAAACTAGAGCAGGAGAAGTGTTCATAAGACCTTTTTTTTTTTTTTCCTGGGAAAGAGAAGGTCTTCCCTGACTGCAAATCAACTGTGGTTTATGAGCCTGAAACTTGTACTGGTGAAGTTTATCACTAAACCGAGTGATTGGAAGAGTCGTGTAAAAGACCTAGATTTGTGAACTGACTGGGCTTACTGGAGGAACTGTTTGGGAAGTCAGGAAGAGCTAGAGAGACACATGAGGTCAGGAGCACAGATTGCATCAGATATCTTTATTTTTGAAGTATAAATGTGAGCAATTGTAATGAGAACAAAATCGAGAGTATGCTTTCTGTATGATTTTGGAATTGCCAAAGTGACCTCTGCTGAATAGACTATAGTAATTTTGTATCAAAATAATGTTTTGGGCTGTTGTGCCCACAGACATTAATTTGGAAGTTTAATGGATTATTCAGAAGCCTTCTGTAACTTGACAGGAAAAACAGTATTAAATGCAGCATTGAAATATGAAAGGAAGCATGATGCAAGAAGTTCAAAACGTAGAGTTACTGATAATATCTCCATTTACTTAATTTTTCACAGCAAAAATGTTCATGCTTCAGTACTTATGCAAAGATATCTAAAGGAATGGTCTCAGTTTTGGAGGGTCTTAATGCCTGTGGTTTCTACTGATGTCAGAGAAACCTGCAATGCTATGCAAGCACTTAGGAGAATAATTTTAAAGATCAAGTTATCCAAACTTTTAACATCCTGGCATATGTGTCTTAAATTTTATATGCTAGTGTGACACGTGAATTAATCATGCTATGAAGCAACAAAAAGTCTATTTTTGCATTGATCTTGGTTTTCCCTTAACTTTTAGTTTAAATGGCACCACTTGAAACATCAGATCTCCAATTCCTCAACAAAGGAAGCTCTCTCTGAATCTTGTGAATCAAATAAACCTTTGATTGCAGACCTAAGGTATAACTGTTTGATTAATGAATTGTGGCAAGAATAGACAGATAATAAGGTAGTATTGGAACTAGCATGTAGAAAGAATGTTAAAAAATTGTCTCCTCCTTTATAATAGCATTGAACTGGCAATGAAAGAAGCAGAAATTCAAAAGCCTTTTGCAAACATTACTGTCCGTAATGGAGCTGGGCATCTTTCTAATGATAATGAAGGCCAAGAAAATAGCACGTTATGTGGCCTGGAAATGGAGCCTGTCAAATTGATCAGAAGTCAAGGAGGTAAGCTTACCAAAATAGCTGTGCAGTTCTCTCTGATTAATCCACAGGAGTTTTTGTGTGAGGTTTAAATAGTTTTTATAGTGGCTCTTTGAACTAATAGATATGGTTTGGTTGAGTAGTGAGCATTTTGCCACCTTGGAATTCTGGAAATTGACCTTTTTTTCAAGGCACAATATTCTTTTTGCTAGTTAAGTTAGCTGCTCAGCAATATCCAAGCTACGAGTTGTTTTGAAACGGAACCGTGTATTTTTTTCTTTATGCAGGTTATGCTACCATGTCCACATTTTCTTCGGTTGTTTTCTTTGTATCTTGCTGTTGCAGAAATTCTGCAATCGCTTGTGTGATTACTGTTTTCTCCTCTCTGTTCCATGAAATTGCTTCAGGGCACCTATATAATGATGCTGTCTTCCATTTTTTGTTTGTTTGTTGGGTTGGTTGGTTGGTTTGTTTGTTTTAATGAACCACAGCTTTCCTGTTTCATTACAGGGAAAAAATAAACAGTCTTGTTTCTGAATACTCTATGTGTTAGTTCAATATGCTATCATGAAATTATATGTCTTCTCTTTGGAATATATGATTATTTGCTTGAGTGCTGGTTTGTATGTTCTTTTACCAATTAATCTTTATTTTTTCTACTTTGAGAGAGGAGAAAACATCAACAGTTGGCACTTATCAGCAAACAATTTGAAAAGGAGAAGCAAAGACTCCGGAAAGAGATAGAAGTGTTACGCACTAAACTGACAAAAGCAGATGATGAGAATTCTTCTTTGAAGACCAGCATGGCTCAGAGAGCCAGTCAGTTTCAGGTCATACAGGAAGATCTGTTGAAGAAGGCTTCAAAAACTAGTAGCTTAGAGAGAGAAGTAAGTTTTTAGCAGCATTGAAAAATACATGTCTCTTTTTGTTTGCTTCAGTAATCAAAGATAGTTAAGACAGTAGTTATGGAAAAACTGCAATTGCCATATTAATTTTAAAATCTGGCTTATTTAAGAGAAGTTGGAAATAAACTGAAAGATAGCAGCCTTTGTTAGTTGTCAGAAACCTCGTTTTAAGCTGATGTCATTATTGGGCTTTATTACAATAATTTTGATTTGTTACGTGGATAATATGCACAGACTTCTTGCAGTGGTATGGTTGAGTTAATGTGTAATCTTAAGAAATCAATGTTGAAGGAATAGTTGTATTTTTTCTTATTAAATGCTTAGTACAGTTGCCAGGGATTAACATCATTACCAGAGTCACAAAAGAAAGAAATTAAGCTTCAGCTGGCTCTTCTCTGGTTGAACAAGTTAAAATGCTAATGTTTACATTCTGGTGCTAGTGTGTTTATAGAATTCCAGTGTAGTGGAATTTGTAGTATTTCCTAATAATGGCCGTAAATGTTACAGATCTGTAATAGCTCATTCACTCATATGGCACTGATAATTATCATGAATTGGATACATTTGAGGTAAATTGTCCTGAATTCTTCTCTGTAAGTAATAGATCATACAAGTTTAATAGATCATACAAAAATAGACAAACAGATAATTAAAAATAATATAAAATAGTAGTAGCTGAAGTGACATTGGTGGTGAGAATAAATATACAAATAATAGAATAAACCTGAAACAGTTGTCTTCATGCTGGTGTTTGTACCATATTTAATTTCAGATAACAAAGAAATCTTCTCAACTTTCTGCACTTGAGAAACAGTTGGAAGAAAAGACTATTGCTTATTCATCTGCTGCAGCAAGAAATACAGAGTTGGAACAGGAACTCATGGTAATATGTTCGAGTGAGAAACTACGTTTATGTAAAAAGGCAAAAAAAAGTTTAAGTTAAAACAGTATTATTCTACATATTCAAAGTGGATAGGCTTTCAGATCTGCTAAACAATCTGTGTGGTTTTTAGACAGTGCAGTTTTATTTAAAAAATCTGAATCTTGTTTCAAATAAAACATCCCCGACAGTTGCAGCAATTCCAGTCTGAGTATCGTTATGCAAACTTTTTTAGTTTTGAGGAGGAGTCTAAGGTTGCTAGAAAAATAAACTTTTGGTTGTCCATTTCAAATGGAAAACTGTGTTTTAAAGACTCCTCTAGCCACGTGAATGTAGGATTCATTTTTGTCTTTGTCAGAACTTCCTTGCTCTAGTTGCTGTAATCTGTGTCAGTAGTCCACCTTGGTAGACACCTTGTCTCTGTGTAGAGGCTGCATTTAGTGACATTCTATACCTGCGTTACAGGTGTGCCATCCTTGGAGATGAAACCTGCTGCGTATAACTTCAGGACTTTCTGTGTTGTTCTTTTAAGAAATTTAGGAATGCAATCATCAAATAAAATGTTGCTAAATATTTTTATTAAGTCCTTTTTGTTGTTGCTGTTGCCCAGGGAAAAATCAGACGCATTCATGAGTTGGAAACAACTATCAGTGAAGAACATGAGCAAATAACTTCTGCTTTTGAAAAAGCAAAGTTGGTTCACCTTGAGCAGCACAAAGAGATGGAGAAACAGATTGAACTAGTAAGACCTTCCTTGTGTGCTAGTATGTGAGTGATGCACTTGGTAACTTTTTCCCTATGTTAATTTCTCTGTCTTTTTAGTAATTTTGAGGCAGATGTCTAATTAACAAGTTTCTTCTTCTCCCTACATCTCCTGATTTTTAGTTCATTTCCCATTAACGCTATGCAATCTCATGATTTCCCTCTAAGATATTAATATCCTGTTTTCTGCTCAACTGAAGAGAAATAGAGACTTAGGAAGAATACTGTTGTTCTTTGTTCCAAACACTTAGCAAAAAAAAAAAAAAAGAAAAGAAATTATTTTTTTTGCCTACTGGGATTAAACCACTACAGCTTCTAACAATTTTCTTTCATTTGCTGAATCTCTGCCAGCCTGAGCCTTATGAGCATCTGTGTTCAAGGAGAACTGGTGGTAGGCTTCTCAATCTTTACAGAAGAATTCTGTTACTTGATGAGATTAGAAATATAACTGTGGCTATTTCTAGCTGTTCAAGAAGCTTGTCATTTTTTACTAAAGAATGTATGCCTGCCTTTCTGTCTTGGCTGATGACAGGCAATTACACTCTGCCTGCCCTCATTCTCTTGATTCTCCTGTTGCTTTAAAATATTAAGCGTTTGGGATTTCTTGATATTTTTAAGATTCTGCAATACTGCTGATGGCAGGAATGTATTTGCTTTTTTGTTCTTAAAGTGATGAGTGAAGAGAACTGAATGATATAGTTAGATGCACAAATTCTCTGAAAAAGCTTATTAAAATAATGAACCATAAATTACTTTTGGACAGCTTCAGACACAGCTGGAGAAGAAACATCAACAATTCACTGAACAAGAGAAAATAATATCTATTTTGCAACAAGATGTTATACATAAACAGCATCACATTGAATCATTGGATGGGATGCTGATAGAAAGCAGAGAGGTAAGGTTGGCTCTTGGCTTTCTTTAAATGCAAATCAAACAAGTGGCTAATAATGATGAAAAGCATATCCATAAACACATGGAAAAATTTTAGAAAATGAAAGATACTTATGTTTTTGCTTCTTCTTGATTGAGTAACTGACTGGATCTAGTGTAGTTCCCAGCTACTACTATTATATATAACACAAACTTTAATGACCTTTCATTATTTTTTGTCTCAGCTTTCTATTTATGCCTCTGGTTTTCCCCTTGGGCTCTAATCAAAGGAAAGAAATCTGGATAAAGAACAATTGCGTTTATTCTGTGCTAGGTGAAAAACCAGGAACGTTCTATTATGGCAAAGTTTTATTCCTTTTAATAATTCCTGCTGCTGCAGAATATGAAGGGACACCTATCGGGAACCAAACTCACTTCAGACTATGAAGTACACAAATACAGTATACAAGCTATTGTGTTTTAAATACAGCGATCTATTATTTTTTTTTTCTGATTCTTAGTATGAGTTCTTGTTAGGTAAATTACTGTTACTATATTTCATTTTGTTATCTTGAATAAAACTATGTGTACAAACAGGAAATGGAAAATCAAAATGTCAAGAAAGATCAAGGACTCAAGGTGCTGAAAAGTCAGTTAACAGAAGAAACGATCAAAGTTAGTAAGCTCTTTGTAATTTTCAATTAATAAAGTTTGCAGTAACGGTGTGCTTCCTTTTACCCTCTATAGGAAAACTATATTAAGGCTGCTTTATAGAAATTTGTCTCACATAAGTATTTCAGAAGTCATTAGCCTGAAGTTTTTCCATTTTTGGTGGTTTTTTTTTTTTAATTAAAAGAAGTATGATGAAACCTGCAGTAAGAGATTATGCAATGCATAATTGCTTTATAAAATTACTGTAGTTACAAATAGGGCAGATTTGTGCTTGCTGTACTCTTGAAGTAAATCTTTATCTGCAAAGATAATGTTATGTAGGGTTTTGCTCTAGATATGACTTATATTTTAGACATACATAATATTATAGCATTGGTTTGCCTGATAGATATTTTCCCTGCAGCGCTTGCAACAGTATTTTAACAATTCTCATGGGGTGATTTACCACAGTCAGGTTTCAAATGGTATTAAATCTTCAGGATATCTCTAGGAGAAGATGCTGGGGCCTGAGCTGGTAGCATGCTCTTTCTGAATGTGCTTTGGACCAGTTTTCTGTCTAAGTGGCTTTGTAGTGTTTGGGATGTTTCCCAAGATTTAAAATTAGGACATATTATTGCTTCTCTTTGAAAAGCTCTTGATTTGGGTGGAGAGGGAGGTATACAATCCAACGTGGTTTAGAAAACTGGTGGCATTGAAAGTGTTAGCCAATCTGCACAATTTGACACAATTCTTGTTGTTGAGACAAGTCTTCTTAGCATTGAAACCAAACAATTAAGTTTAATTACTATGGCTTAAGATGTTTGGGGGTTTGTTCATTATAATCTTCACCTGTTTGAGGTTATAACATATTTGTTAGAGATTACTCAAATCCAATTTAATAGTAAAAGGGTAAAATATATTAGTAGTGTTGACATTGCTAAAAGCTTTACCTTTTCATTTTGGTAGAACACAGGCACTGTCTGTCAGTGCAGAAAGGAGAAAAAAATGCTATTTAGTAGCTTTCTGAGATAAATTGTATTGAAATCTGAATGTTATTTTTGAAAAAGACTTGCCACAACTCACTTATGATGATAATTCCAAATTTATACTATTCTATATGGAATAAAACATGGTGGACTAATGATTTGGTAGTGGGCATATGTTTGCTACTAGCTACTGACAAATTTTAGCTACTGGCAAATACTGGAAAATCTTCTCTTAACTGATAGTCTCATCTGATTTAAAGACAGTCTAAAGTATTGTAATATGACTTCACAAATAACTTTAATTTCTGAGTACTACTTCAGTTTTTAAGTTTATGATAATCTTCTATGCCTCTTTTAATTCTCTAGATAAAAATGTAGGATTTCAGATGTTTTGCACAAAGATATGTTTTCACACTTTTTTTGAACTAGTTAATAAACATTATGCAATGCAATTTTAAGTAATCTATTGCATTCAACTAGGTGAGACAACTTGAGTCAGCCCTAGACGTATGTAAGGAAGAAGTTGCGCTGTACTTGAGTCAGTCACAAGAAAATAAGGAGATATTTGAAAATCAACTCAAAAAAAAGTCTGAAGAGGTAACAGCTTGTTTTAGCAATTTTTCTGTATTGCAGAGAACACCTGTTATGAATGATTTAATCCAAAAGTGTCTGTGAAATAAGATACAAAACATTTGCTGGGAAACAACTATATATTTTGTGAGGGGAAAATCATAACTAAGAAACACTGGATAAGCTCAAGGAAAATAAATACCAACATGAATGAATTGTTGAGAGACGTAACAAAATCAGAATTCGGTGAAAAAGCACGGGGAAAAAAAAATGCTATTGCAATATAAACTTAGGTGCACGTAATTGGTTTGTGTTTCAAGTACCTTAATGGGGAAGAAGACCTGGGCATAAGAAAATTTTTACTTCAAGCCCCTGAGTTTTATCATACTGTCCACTGCTACATGAAAGCAAGAAAGAATTAAATAAAAATTCATGCTAATAATATTTAAACCTACGGAGATGACTAACCACATGAACTAACTATCATAGTAGGCTGTTTGTGTCAGTGCTGCCCTCCCTCCCTGTACAGGAGTAACTGGATGCAAATCTGTAGTCTGTGTTAGGCATAAGCCTGTGATACATACTGCTGCTTTCTAAGCCCTAAAATCTGTTGTTGTTGTACTGCATATGAAGAGACTGGATGCTGTGTGAAACTCAAGGGAAGCAAGTGAGGCTTTTTAATTGTGAGCAATGTTTCATAAGTAAGTGACAAAGTCACTACTTTCACTTTGGGGTGAGCAGTTAGTGATTTTTTTTTTTCTTTTTTTTTTTTTTTTAAAGAAGCTTTTTTTTTTTTCAAAAAATTCTTGGCATTCATCACTGAGAAATTAGGTCATTCAACATGTGACAAGTTAGGCACTCAGAGTTCCTGTTTTTTATTGGAACGATTGTAGTCATAGGGGCAATAGGAAATAAAGAGGAGGACTGAGAACAAAATCTCAAGGGGAAAACAAAGACTTTCTGAGAAATATAGTAAGAAGAGTGACAGAAAGAAAAGTAGTTCAGTAATTTAAAAATGGAAAATGTTTGTTATATATGTTTTTAAAATATTGACCAGTTTAGGTATATTTAGAAAGCAAGAAGTCAGAAAACTGGCTGATAAGTTACTTCTTTCCTCACTTTATAAAGCACAACTCAGTGATGAACTATGAGATGTGTTATGTACTGTTGAGACTGTAATGCAAGTAAATTCAGAGCCAGAAGTTTTATTGACTCATAGGTGTGATTCTGTGCTCATTGAGAATGAAGAGAATAGCTGATGAAACTGCAAATAAAAATATGTTATTGTAATGGAAAATGAATATGTTTTCAGGTCCATTATTTACAGAAAGAAATAAAACTAAAAAATCAGAATATTCAGGACACAAGTGAACAAAATATTCTCCTACAACAAACTTTGCATCACCAGCAGCAAATGTTACAGCAAGAAACTATTAGAAATGGGGAGCTGGAAGATAATCAAATTAAACTTGAAAAACAGGTACAGTATGCTGAGAAGTGTTTACATAAAGGCAAATAATTAAATGTTTTTATAAAAGTTTTTGTAATACCCTTAAAATCTCAATGTTTCTTTGGCAACTGAGTTGATTGTTATTATTTTAGATATATCTAAAATAAAAGTTTAGTGGTTTGGTTTATCTTAAACTAGGTTCTGTGCCATTAGAAACCTTAGCTAGCATTAGAGTGGCAAGTACTTGGAAAATCAAACCCTAGACTGCAATTAAGGAAAGGCATATTGAAATTCAGAAAGTTAAATCTTGTTATATTTACTGGAAACTATTTGTCTTTCAAATGTGACTGCAAAGTTCTAGTCTTAAATTGAACGTACATTGAATGTATTGAATGTGAATCTTCCTATATGAATTGCAAGAGAAAGAAGCATATTTCTTTGGTATGTAATTTAAAAGTACCAACACTTTTTAAATACTGTTTTAAATAGGTATCCAATTTGGAACAAGAGCTTCATAAGCAGAAAACATATGCAGAAGATGAGTTGAGAAAGGCAGAGGAGAAACTTCGCCTAGCTATTCAGGAAGCAGATTTAAACAGACAGAAGGTGGATGAACTTAATAGTACAGTCAGGTAGGTTTAGAATAACTGAGAGGTATGTTCTGTCTCTCTATGAGCATAGACTTGAAACCAGAAGGGAAGTTTCTCGCTAGCGGAGGCAACAGTTTCTCCAACAGTCTTCCAACGGAATTAATGCATGTCCAGGCAACCTATTTAGCCTTAAGATAGCACTTCATAATGCAATTCAATTCATAAATGTATCAAGTTGCTTGTAATTCTAGATAGCAGATTTTAGGAGTGCCTGGTAGTCTATAAGAATATGTTTTTTATTGTGAGAAAAGCCTACTTAATATGACCCTTTTATTTCTATTTTATTCACAAATGCTTGTTGTCTTAGAGCATGTAAGGACGTACATGTTGCTTTTATTATTACAAGGTTCATTTTGTTCTGGCTGCTTCTTCTATTTAGACAAATTAAAATGGAGATGGATCAGTGCAAGAATGAACTTACTGGTATGGAAAAAGAAGTAGTGCAATTAAAACAAGACTGTGAAGACAAAGCAATGCAGATAAATCAGTTGGATATTACCTTGGAAGAAGCACGATCAGAGCTCAATGACAAGGCCTGTGAGGGTAATGTCTCTATTGTGTTTTACAGGCTTCCTTTTATCATGCTATCTCCCTGTCTGTATTAGACTAGACATTTTTTCTTTTTCCCCTGTTTTATAATCATGTATATGAGAGTAAAAAATATGATAATTTTGATGGAGGGGTCACACTTTTAATATGTTGGTAATGCTACTGTTTTTAAAATAAATAAATAAAGAAAAAAACTAAAAAACCTCAACTCCTCGAAAGCATCAACAAACCCACAAACTTTATTTAACCTACCTTTCCAAATTCTCACTTTTGTGGGATGTATCTTTACCCCAGGTGAAATGAATAAGTAGTTTTCTCTGTAAATTGGTAATGCAGACTCTTAATGTGGTAATCAGACAAGGCACATAAATTTAATAAGGGCATATGCTATTTACAAAACTGCAGCTCTTTAAAACAGACAGAAAACCCCACGAGAAAGCCTATGGAAATATCATACTTTCCAACCCCCCCTCCTCCATTTAATTTTACCATTCTTTCAAACCAGAGTCTCGCTAGTGATTCTGCTTGAGTTTTCCATAGCACTGCATATTCAGTTACTATGTTGTCTCTGTACTTGCTCCTTGTCCAAACATTTTTAGATACATCCTCGTACTTCAAGTCAATTATAGCTTATGAGTTGAATAAAAAAGCAAAGACTTAGCTGACGAGAAAAGGTGGTTGTATAACCTCAGAAATCACTGTTTTTCTAGATTTTGCTAAAAATACTGATTCTGAAATTTTTTTATAAACACAAGCGCTAGTAGACAGCGGTGTTGCATAAAAGCCCTGATCATTAAATATGTTGTGTTGTGTGTGTAAAACAGTGAATGATTTAGAAGATAAGCTGCTTCGAAGTGAGGCTTGCCACAGGGAAGCCTTACAGAAAATAGTTAAGCTAGAATCTGCATTAGAGAATGCACATGGAGAATTGAAAATCACTTCAGCACAGCTTCATGAATTGCAAGATGCGTTACAGAAAGCACAGTCTTCTCTGGAGGAGAAGCATGTTGCTATCATGGATCTAACAACAGAGCTCAGGTAATCTGGTATCTTTTCCTTCTTGAAAACTTACTTGTGTTAGTTTTTCTTTAGGAATAGTAAGTAGTTTGGATGGTTGTCTTGTATTTTCTTAGCAGCTCTCCGTAATTTTTAGGTGGTTTGTGGCTGTAAGATAAGTTGATACAGTATCTCCTGAGCTCACTTAATTTCTAAAAGTGGTGCTGAATTCTTTTTTGGGAATTCTGTTTTAAAATCTGCTAAAACTTTCTGAATTCCAAAATTGTGAAATAATTGTAAGAGGAATTACTTTCTTTTATAGTGAAATTGTCTAGTTTCCTTTCTTCTGTGCTATTCTTTTTTTTAAGAACATGTTGTCCTGATAACTAATTAAATAACTTCAATAAAAAAATTTCCACCTGGAATATAGTTAACAGAATTATTCCATTTGGGCTCATTTTTTTTGCAAACAATTAGTTGATTCACATTTTTTAAGTAATAGATTTCATGATCTTCAAGCTGCATGCCTGAAGATAAGCAACTGAATGTGCATTAAGCAATTAAACATATGAGAATTTCAGGTATTGCAAGGGAGAAATTGAAGACAAAAACCAAGAACTCCTTGACATGGACCACGCATTGAAAGAAAGGAATTGGGAACTGAAACAAAGAGCAGCTCAGGTCAGATCACTTTAAGTATGTTACTGATAATTACCCTGTTATGTAGTAGATAACTTATAAAAAGTCTTCTAGGTTTAATTGCCTGCACACATAGTTCCAAACGGTACTGTTAATTTAGTGTCAACCTCAAAACAGCTTTATGTTACTGAAGCCTTATGGTACCAGGAAAATCAGGTTGTGCTCTCCTAAGGGACCACAGAGTACTGTTTTGATAGAACAGAAGCCTTGTGCAAACCCATCCCATAATTCTTCCTTAGTGATACAATTACAGGACAACTGTTGTTATCCTGTTGTTTGATAAAATGAAGGAAAGATCTGCACTGAAGTGTGCTTGGAGATGACAGATTCCTTGTTTGCACTGGAGCATATTTGATTAGCTCTAAAGCACCTCTAACCTCATACTAATTTCACCTCTAAATGTGAAACAGTACCTTTGTTGTGAATAACTTTCTGTCGCTCATTTTCAGTCTTTTCGTCTGGCTTCAGGATTTGATACCCATCGTGGCAAAACTATTATTCTGTCACTTATAATTAGCCTTCTAATAGCTGCTTCCTGCAGGAGTTACCAGTCTTTCTATCCAAGAATGTTTAAAATGCAGAGAGGAGGGGTGGGGATTAAAAAAAAAAAAAATAAAAAAAAATCTGCTGAAGGAACTGGCACTGTAAGGAGGCCAGACCTTCCAATAGACTTTTGCCACAATACCCTGTGAGCAGCTCCAGGAATTCAGCAAAGCAATGGGATTTTTGTTTGCTTTGGCAATACATGGTGCTTTCTAACAAGATGGATTAGTATACTAAGCTACTCATTATGTTGCATTTAAAATGAGAACTAAGTTTGTATTCTGTGTATCTGAGGGCCAAACATATTCAGTTACGGACTTTTTCCCCTTTTCTCTTTGTGTTTGGCCCCAACTTTGTAAGTGAGATTTGCATTTTTATATTGACTGCTTGAGAGAATATTCTTCAGACTACAAAGAATTAATTTAATTCCTTTTGCCGTCATTTGTAATGTTGCTTCTTAAAATCTGCATACTAATTCACAATAAAATAACTAATTTTTTTCCTTTTTTTACCTCTAGATTACACAGTTGGATATGACAGTTCGTGAACATCGGGGAGAAATGGAACAACAAATAATTCAATTAGAGTGCAATTTGGAGAAGTCAGAGTTAGAAATTAAGGAATGCAATAAACAGGTAATTCTTGCTTAAATTAAAAATCCAGTTTCCCTAAAAAAGGCAGCTAGTTCTATGAGAAAGTCTGGTCCTAGGACACAATACCCAGCCAGGTTTAAACTAGAACAATAAAACTAATTCTTCATTGTAGGGAGAGAGGAAGGTATACCTCAATGTACCTGCAAAAATATTTTGTTTGTCAAAATTAAAAATTTTGCAGGGAAATTTTGCAGTATAAAAATGAAAATGTATTCTTTTGCTTGATGTGATATAGCTCCCAAACCACTGTTTTAATAAAGGAATATGGTGACAAAATAAGAAACGAACAAGGCAATCCAAAGTCAGAGGTAATACTGATGGTATTTGTGAGTTTTTTGTTTGGGGTGGTTTTGGGGTTGTTTCTTTTTTAATTGTCCTGATTTCAGTAAAATATATGTTCTGATTTAATTGAATTTGCTGTTCAGATTGAGAACTTGGAGAAGAAACTGCAGCATTCTAAAGATGAACTTCGTGAAAAAGAGTTTGAATTGCTCCAGAGAGATCAAGAAATAAATCAGCTGAAAAAAAAAATTGAAAGAAAACAACAGAGCCTAGAAGCTCTTTGAAAAGGTAAAACACTCCTTGGATACACAACAAACTCTAAATTTTTAATGCCATTACTGTTACTGTCTAGAAGGAATGATATAATTTCTCTTTAGAATAAAGAATTACTTCTCCCCAAGTAATTGTATTCTATATCCTGTTGTTTGCTGAATCTTAATCCCCTGAAGTTAAACCAGTTGAATGATTTAAAAATTACAAATTTAATGGCACATTTAATTGTCTGCTTTTTGGAGAAATTTGAATATTGATTATCTTTAGTAACCTGATGTTCTGGCTATGGACATGGTTTTCTCAGAGAAGTCTTCTTTCTGTAGAGTCACTGAAAGCGTCTGATCTGTATTTTAGATCATGGGGGTTTGGCTCTGTTGCAGCTCAATGAGAAGGTTGTTTCACTGCAAATTAAAGCAATGTCAGCTCTTCCATCTTGATTTCTGTTAAAGGTTATTTATGACAGTTGAGAACAGGACAGTGCCTGCTGCTACCTTTCACACATCACTAACGTATTTCTAACTTTTCCCAAGACATTGGGGATGATTCTGAAGGAAGGGATTTCCTCGCTAGCTGCTGTACAGCTGCTGACTCGACCCTTCCTTTCCAGACAAATTGCCTTGTAAGTCATTTTGTGAATTAATACCACGTAGGGGGAGGCCCAACAATGTGATAAGAAAGGCTTTGAAAATAGGCCTATTCCAGTCATGTTCCTTTAGAGATTTGGGATGAAGGAAATAAAATTTCAAGTTTATTTGCATTGTATTAAAGTAGATAAAACACTGGATTTCAGAAGCATTCTGCATAAAATATGAAATATATTGCAGAGGGGTTCTAGCTCTGCTTAGAATGTGATATGGTTGCTTCTTTGTTTAAAAACTGTGTATATTAACATGATGTAAGAAAATTCTTTCTCCATTAGTAACGTATCACAGACTGACCAATCTTCCAAAGGAACTTTCTGTCCTAGTTCTAAAAGCTCTAAAAACTCTATTGCCTAATCAGTCTGGGGAAAAGGGGAAGTGTGTTTGTGTGTGTTTGTGTTTTGTCTGGGGGTATAGTCTGTCTCATTCATGACTTGATGATCTTTAAGGTCCCTTCCAACTCTAACCATTCTATGATTCTTTTTCCCCTTAATACACTACCTTCCTTGCTTATTACAGGAAATACATTAATTCAGGGAAGGAATTGTTAGCTAGGGTTGGTTTCTGTCCTGGTCCACTCTGCCCTTTCAGGACTCAGGAAATAACCAGATGACAGATTTTTCAGTTGAATCATTCCATATCTGCTTTAAACTGCAGTGAAGATCTTCTAACAATACAGCAATCTGCTACCCTTAGAAGTTGCAACTATTCCAAATAAAGGAACTGGAAGCGTCTTACTGAGCATTCAGAATGTCGTCTTCATTTTTCTGGGAAATTGAAGTAACTTCCTGTCGTGGTTTAGCCTCAGATGGCAACAAAGAATCACGAAGCTGCTCTCTCTCTCACCCTCCACCCCCAGCCATGAGGGGAGAATCAAGAGAAAAAAGGCAAAACTCGTGGGTTGGGACAAAGGCAGTTTAACAGAACAGCAAAAGGAACAAGAAAAGAACAATAGCACTGATGGAGGAATATACAAACACTATTACACAACCTGGGAGCCCCAGTCTGATCACAAACTGGGACTTCCTGCCCCCTCCCCCAGCCAGCTCCCAGCTATAGACTGGGCATCCCTCACACAGGTATGGAATACCTGTGTCCTGGCCAAAGCCTGGGGAGAATTAACCCTATCCCTGCCAGAAACAGCACATTTCCTTAACTTAAAAATAAACCAACCCCAAAACCAGGTTTGACTTACAGCAAATCTTAGGTGGAGACAGTTCCTTACTGAAATGAGAAATAAAATTATTATAAAAATGGTAAATGAAGTAAGAAAAAATTAGTCCTTACAAAGATTGATTAAAAAAAAAGAGCAATTTTTACATTTTTGTAAAGTAAAAAAAAAAAAAGAGAAGTTATTGTAATACTATTTCATGCATTAGCCGTAAGCTTATTATATGCTACTTATAGATGTCTGTGTACTCTATTTATAACCTTCCTTATAAAGAATAAGCACCTAGCTAAACACGAAGAGACACAATGTAATTGCTTTTGTATTTATAATTACCAAGAGCCATAGTATTATGTGATGTTAGCAAATCATTAGTGGCTGATATGGTCTCTGTTGTGCCACAGTACTGGCTAATGTAAACATAGCTGCTGTGGATTGTATACTAGAGAGACTATTTTGTTGATCGCCTATATACTCCTGTTTGGTTTTTTTCTATAATGAATTGTCAAATAATGATGTCCTGCAGGTAAGCCTGTTTTTAAGGGATGGGGGGGGGGCCAAACCTCTAGAAATTAACCAAAATACTATGTTTGGCTGCATTCATTTCTGTATACAGAATACTTACGTTAATGTTGATAAGAATTTCCTCACTTTGTATTCACAGAAATCATAAACTTTTTTTTCCACTTGATACCTTGATACTGTTGATAAGGTTTTTACAAATCATTAGAAACTTAAATTGTTAGGAACTTAACACAATAATGCAGTTCACATGAAACCTTAAGCCTTACACAAAGGAGTTGTTTCAAAAGACAGTGCTCCTTTAAACTGTATAAAAATTTTTACATAGATTTGTATGTGAAGATTTCTTTTCAAAATATTCTGCATAATATTTTCCTACATATCTGCTAGAACTTAACATATGTTGAAAAATTTGTAAATTATGCTCATTTTGAAAACAAATGCATGTCAATTACAAGAACAGTGAAGAAAAAAAGCATTAATAACTTCAGTCTAGAGGGGCAGAACTTGAGAAAGCAGCCATGGACTTGAGACCTGCAGCTAGTTTTCTTGAATTTGTAAGATAAATTTTAATAATGAAAAGTAACATTTTGGTACAAATGGATTTTGATGTGGCAAATTGAGTATAGAAGTTTGAAGTGAGGTTCTGATCACAGATATTTTGTTTCAGGGGCAAGAATTGTGAAGGAATGTTGCCCGTTGGACAAGCAGCAACCCAGGAATGCTGTTGCTGACATCATAATCGTGCCTTCAAATAGGAAATTTTAACATTGTATTTGTAAATAATGGCTGTAGTTATTTGTACTGATGCAAATTACAACCTTTTTTATTTTTCCAACTGTTTTTGAGATTATTGCCTTGATATAATAGCATCTTAATATATTTTTTGAGAAGTAAATTTTATTAACTGTTTTGGGTTGCAAGAATTAATTTCAGATGTCATTTTTTCCCAAGGATTTTAAGCTGTATTTGTATTACATCTAACTTCTAATTAAAAATGCAATGATATTACCTTATTAACAACTTTCTTTTTTTTCACACATGTACAATGTTGCAGATGCAATATCTTACTAACATTGACCTGCTTGTAAGATGTTTTAGGACACTGATTTGATCATAGACACTGGCAAAACCTGCTTGCTTTACTCCAAGCAGTATCTTTCAGATGCAAAGTGGTGTGGTATAGGGCCATAAAACTTGATTATTTTTTTTTTGCTCCCAAACTAAAATCCATACAAATATTACCATTGATTAGAATGCATAGTTATGGTGCCATTTTAAAATATATTTATTTCCAGTTTTCCAAAAATACTACAATATTTAGCAAGTATAAAAGGCATGTAGCCCCTCTTTCTAACACTTTAATATTTACATGAGGGTCAGAAACTGCAAATACGGTTATGAGGCCTAAATCTGAGTCTAATTAATGCAAAAATTACTTATGTACATTACAATGTGTGATTTATACTTCAGAAAATCAAGTCAATAAAAGCAGAGGAACGTAATTGAATTTATTGCAATTTAAAGATTAGCCCTAAGTTAAGTGTTTTGTGTATTAAAAGCCTGTCTCAGCCGAAAACCCCATCTGTTGTTTTCCAGCAGCTCTGCAGGTGCAAATGTGTTAAATTCCTTTACTGTATCTGCAAGCATGTTCCACAAATGCAATCGTTCTATTTTAAATGGTTGTACAAAACCATTTTCTACCATTGACACGGTCAAGATACACTCTAAAGTATTTCTGCAGTTTCAGATTATTTTGCTATTATGAAATATAAGAACCTATTTCTTATGGAAATAAATATATTATTTGTTTCTATACTAAATGAAAAACATTAGAATTAGGTTGGCCAGTGTAAAAATTGTAAAATATTAAAATACTTCATTTTTTTTTCCTCTCTTTAGGCAGATCAGTTTGCCTTCAGGCTAGAAATCTATGCATCAAATTTCAGACAGTTTTATTTAAAGCAAAGGAACATGTAAGCCCTCCTTCAAACACAGATTTCAAGTGGAAAATATAACCGATCTGTAGCTACGGTTGCATCACACCAGTAGTGGAATTCCACTAACGTAGTGTTGCATAAGGCCTTGCTTGCTCCTCCTACATGCACTAAATATAAATGTGCACAAGCAGCAAAAGCAATTTGCCTAATATCTGAATCAGCTGAATAGCATTTGCTCTAAAATTGTGTATCTGGATACTAACTTCTCTGGTAAAACTGTGGGTCAAACCCAATAAATAAGTAGAATCATAATTACATTTTCTCATTAACTTTAGATGCTGTCTTGCTATTTTGTTGATTGCCTGAGGAGTTAATGATTCCAATTACACTGTTCAAGTGAAAGGAGGGACTTTTTTTTCCCCCCTAATATCATAATTTCAGTTAATATTTCTGTAGAGTCCTACTTTTCTTGAGTTACTAAGCAATTTACATATGTGCAAATCCTGGAACACTGAGTTCATTCTTCTGAACTGCATTGCATTAACATGGGGTTACTGAATCTTGGAAAACATTTTTCTATGTATAATGGCATTGCAATCAGCTGAACGCTCTTCAAAAGGCTAATTGCTTATTAAGGTGATTCTTTTTCTGTCACTCAGGATGGGTTATAAATTTCACAACAGTCTGATTTTCTTTCTGCATGCCATATGCCTACAGTTACTGTATGCCAAACACAAACTGCAGCAAATTGCCAGTCCAAATGTCCCCCTGTTTAATCCCAGGTTTGTGTGCAAAGTTGGTGGAATATTTTCTCCAAAACTAAAATGGAGTCAGGCATCATGATGGTTCTGATTTTATTTGTTTTGTTTCTTTTTTTTTTTTTTCCAACTTGTCAATTGTAGACTAGAAAGTGTTCAAGGAGATTTCGGTGTCAGCAAGGATGTAGTGAAGCTGGTCTGTTGGTCGTCTTCCTGGCTGCTCTCGGCCGCTGGCGCACTTGCCTACTTTCTCTGTTCTCCATTGGGAACGCTGCCAAAAAGAGATGAATCTGCCTAAACAACTTGCCTCTTTCCAAATCCACATCCCATTTTTCAATTTATGCTTTCCGTAAAGCCTATTAGGACTCTTATAATAGCAAGGCCTTGGGGAAGGAATCCATTTGTCATTCTGTTGCAAAAGAATGAGGAGGGTGCTGTGAGCATGGGAAGTCTGAATGCCGTTAGTGGTGGGGTCCTGTTTTGGGTGCAGTTTACTTTCCATTGATGTGAACAGAAAGCTTGACATGACAGGCTGTTTGTAAAAAAAAAAAAAAATATCCATGTAGCTTACAAATATCTCATTTTAAAGAGTAATCAAATTTTGTAGTAAATATAGTCCATGTTGACGATGCGGATTATAAACTCATGCAGGAGCATCTGCTCCTGGTTTTGTCTAGTTGGAGATTATCCCTTAATCATGCAGGGTCCAGGTGTGCATTTTCAGACTTGTTGACTCAGGAAAGCTGGAGACAGCATTAAAGGCCAATGACATTATACCATAGCTACATTCAGGTTGTTGCGTCTCTGAACAAGAACTGCTTGAACCACCCAGAGAAAAGAATGGCGAGAAGAAATGTCCTCATTACAGGTTGCTCCTCAGGAATTGGACTGGCCTTAGCTGTAAAAATGGCAAAAGATGAACAGAAAAGGTTTAAAGGTAACAATGTATCTGTTCGTTATCTTTTTTTAAAAGCTATTCTTCAAGGCAGTACTATTTTTTTTTTTCCTCTGTGTTTAGCAGGTGACTGTATTCAGTTTGGTGACTTGTAACGTTTCCCTCCTCCTACTGTCATGGAAATACAATACACTGAAAATATTCTACTTTCTGTAAGCAGATGATATTTCTGTACTTGTATTGAAGCCAAACAGCTACATGAACTGAGTAGTTTACAAAAAAAATCAAACCAAAACCAAAAAAAAAACAGTGGTATAAAAACAAATGGCTGAAAACCTGTGCAGTATGCAACCTTGGATATACATTCACTGTTGTAGTTAGCTTTGGTTCTGGCTACTAAAATTTTGGTTGGAGGAAACATACATGCCCATTTGAGGAGTTCTTAAATTTGCAATTTTTTCCTTAAAGTATGTTTCTTTATTCCAACACTGTGTAGACGTAAGAGGATGAACAAAAGGGCTGGGATTTGTCTTTCTGCTGAAAAATGGGATATTTGCTATGTTTGGAAATGGATGGCAAGACAAATACAGTAATCTGTGGAAATTTAATTTCTCATACTTACTCTCTTTATTTTACTGCCAACTGACTGGATGCAAATTCATGGTTTTCTGGGTAATTAGGCCACAATAGAGATAACTGATTTGGATTTTGAGAAGTAGCTTGCAAAAACAGATTTTTGCAAACTGAAGGAAGTATCTGTCTTCCACCTTTAATAAAATGATGGTTGTTCTGCCAAACATGATGGTAATTAAAAAAAAAAAAAAGGTGATCTGGAATCTAAAATTAGATTTTAGGTACCTAAAACTAATTCAGTGGCATAACTTGATGCCCATTATTTAAAATTTTGGTGATAATACCATCTTCATATGTTGCATATTCTTTGTGTGCATGGAAATTTAATTCTCCTTTTGAATTTCTTGAAGATTTCAGAACCAGGCTCTGGGAAATCAGTGGCAATGTATGTTGAAAATAGATTATTTCTACTTTAGGTTTTTATCTGATATCGAAGATACGGATGTAAGAGCAATGTTATTTAGTACTTCTCAGTGAGACAGCCACAAATAAAGTTTTATTTCTGATAACTGTTGCTTCCGCTGTGTTGCAGTGTATGCCACAATGCGGAATCTGGCCAAGAAAGAGCCACTTGAGGAAGCCGTAGGTCGCAGGCTGGGCAAAACCCTGGAAATTAAACAACTGGATGTCTGCGATGAACAGTCTATTAAAACTTGTGTCAATAGTATCCCCGACAGAAGGATCGATGTCCTAGGCAAGTACAGGATGTCTATGAACAGATACCAGTTTTCTATTTAACAACTTCTCAAATACCCTGGAGAAGTTTCATTACTGTATTTTTAAATTATCAAAGTAATAATAATTATATAGTGTATTCTATTTAAGATTCTTAAGGCTTCACGCAGACTAGAGTAGATTAAATCTCACCAGGCTCCTACAAAGTAGGGAAGCTTGTTTACCCTGCTTACAGAGGAGAAGCTTGATCATAGAAAGGAGTCTTGGATAAGATGATAGAATTTTTAGCAAATGTGAGAACTTTTGCCTAAATTGGCATCTTGTACAAGACTTTCTGTCCTATCAGTGAAGCATAACCCTATTTACAATGAAGGCAACAGCTGCCTGTGCTGAGAAAGCAACAGAATTTGGGAATTGGAAAGTAAAAGAACAAATGCAAAGAAAGTAAAGGTACTTTCATTTTCTATTGAGAATTGTAATTCTACTATACAAGTCATTCAACAAGAAGTGCTTTCATATTTTTTTTGCTAGAAATAATTATTAATATATTAGTAAGATGGAAATTGCTTACACCATCAACTATTAAATCTTCTCTAATCGAAAATTATGGACCTGCCTTAATTTTGATTAATTATTAAAGCACTGCTTAACAAGCTTCTTCTGCAAAATGTATTATGCTTCAATTTGACATACTAGTTGTACTGCAGAATGACAGTTCTACCAATCATTTCTCTCTTATAAATATCTAGGAGGCAAATAAAAATCAATGAAGTGTGTGCTTTATTTTTGTTTTGTTATTTTTCTTGACAAGGTGAATGTTAAAAAAATAAAACGAAAAGCAGACCAAAATATGACCTGGTCTATCACCTTTAAGAATAAATTGAAGAATTCTGTTCATTCCTATTGACTGTATCCTATAATTCTTAATACTGAATTATGAACAAATATAGATCATTCTCAGCTCATTTGCCTGTAATCCTTTTATAATTTAAAGACAAAGGACTAATCAGAAATAAAATAGTTAAAATGCTAAATATCAGATGATTTAAATTGGATTAAAAGCATAATTAAAAATAAAAAAACTATGGCTGTTTCAAGTGTATTTGCAAAGCATTAGTGACAGAGTAATATCTTTTAATCCTTTCTTTATGGATTATTTAAGGATCACTTAATCCTTAATTCTCATTTTGCTTTCAAGTAATGATTACAAGCTAATGTTTATGGAGATTATTGCTTACTGTTTTCTTCCATTTTCTGCAGTTAGCAATGCTGGAATGGGGCTCATTGGACCTATTGAATGTCAGACCATAGATGAAATGAAAACTGTGATGGATACCAACTTCTTTGGACTGGTTCGACTCCTGAAGGAGATTTTGCCTGATATGAAGAAAAGAAAGAGCGGGCACATAGTTATAATAAGCAGTGTTATGGGAATACAAGGCAAAGTTTTTTTGTTTGTTTGTTTGTTTGAACTAAGAGTTCACTATTCAAAATCTAAAGCTTACCTCTTTTCATCTGGAAAAAAAATAACGTAGGAGCTAGCGTATCTAACTATCGTGCTTTGTAATGCTGACAGGAGAGTACAGCACTTAAACTACAAGAACAGCACTTAAACCTGATAGTTTTTATGCATCTAGGTAGTATGTTACCACACAACTACTCTAAAGACATTTTAACAACAAAACCTGCACAGTGATTTTTCCTTTAAAATTTTAACTCAAACTGTAATTATTTTTATTTATTTTTTTTTAAATATTATTTTATTTTTATTATCTGGAAAACAGGGCTTTGTAGCATTATGTTTCTCTTTCCTATTGGAAAAGATAATAATAGAATAAAATCCAATCATGTCCTGGACAACTGTACCGACTTTTTTGTAAAATTTCTCCTCTCATAAAACTCCACAGAGTCTAATTTTAGTGACATAATTATGCTCCTACTCTTGTGTTCCATCTCGTCTAGCAGTATTTGTTTCAATTATCCCAATAGTGGCATTGGTCTGACCAGGATTATTCTGGTGAGCAAGGGACCTAAATCAAGCTGCAAGAGTTGTTATTGTTTAATACAATACTTACCATCCACCTAAATGGATCGATGTAGTGCTTTTTCTAAATCACTTAGACACAAGCTGGATCTCTTGAATAATTATATTTCCTGCTTTGCACTCAGCTTCTGTGATCATCTATAGCCTATTAAAGTCTTGCTGATAAATAATGCAGATGGTATTGTATGTACAGACACTTTCATATCTTAGACTAAAAACATTTAATACCATCCAAAGAGATGACATCATCAGCAGGGAGGAAAAGCATTAGTCAAGCATCCTTTCATAGAATGAGCAATTTTGAGAATCTATGCAAAAAATCAGTATTTGGATTGAGTATTCCCAAGGATTTTTCTAATGTTTTCCCACCAAGAGTGTAGAAATTTTAGGAAAATACAAGAGTTTTAAAAACTAAACTGTTAGTATGTTGAATACAATCCCATTCTCAGAATGTTTTGTTTGTACCATCAGGTATCTTATTTAATGACGTTTATGCTGCATCCAAGTTTGCTGTGGAAGGATTCTGCGAAAGTTTAGCTATACAAGCACTCAAGTTCAAACTCCAGTAAGTATCAATCCACTGGTGTAAACTGTATTTTAGATTAAATATATTCAGAGCTAGCAAACAAATTTTTAAAGCTTGCTGCTATCTAGGAGAAACAGATTGAAGAACCCATGGAAATCATACCTACCTCACAAAAGGCATAGAAATATCTACATTCTTCACACTACATAAGCAAATAAAGATCTAGATGCTAAACTAAACATGTTCTCATGAATAGTTAAAGGCTGTTCAGCTTTGGATAAAATACAGTGTATGTAATACTTCTGAAATCAAATTTTTCTGTGCAATATCATAGGAATAAAATTATAGTATCAACCTGTACTTCTTAGGCAATTCACAGATAGTTCAAGGGCTCATGATAGAGAGAGAGAGCAAGTGGAAATCCATCAGAATGGAACATATGGTGAGATACCTCTAATGACAGCAGGAGGGAGGAAAGCAAGAAGAATGTGATGCACCATTTCCTAGTGTTTAAGACAGTAGTTAAGAAAATAGTCTTGTTTATTATGTGGGGGACTCTGCGGTTTGATTTGTCACATGCACATTCACATTTGTGTAATTCTGCTACTATTGTTTGTGTGAAGTCTGATTGCTCAATATCCATTGCACCTCTGTGTGCCTAAACATTTAGCCCTTGTGCTGTGGGGGAAGAGACAGCCGCTGTCATGGGATCTCAGAGACAAAGAGGCATCCAAACTGTCATTTTACATACTGCTCTGAAAAGTTTGGAGGGATTTAAAATAACTATATTGTAATGAAACATGAGATATACCAGATAAGATTTCAAGACTATAAGATCCAGCAAGAAGGAGGTTAAAAAAAGAAAGCGGAATGGGAAAAGGTCCAGTGTGAAGAGTGATGCTAGAATTCCAGCAAGAGCTGGAATTCTGCTGTCAAGGTCAATAACTTGATTCAGTTCTAAAGAGAAGCCTGATCAGAACTCAGGCCTAGGAAAAGATCCTATCCCAAAGAGTGTTTTGATAAACGTGGTGGCTGGGAGTAATTACTGCCTGAGAAAAGAACCGGGAAAGAACTGAGAAATAACTGTATTTCAGTGATTTGCTATAACACGCTACTGAGCAAAATAAAATTTTCCAGATTTGGCAGCAGCCAAAATCTACCCACCCACGGCAAAATTCTCAACATTGTATTTTATTATCATATTGTAGAGAGATCTGGAATTATGTAACGCTGACAGCCTGACAAAAAAATCCATGTTTGGGTAATTCCCCCTTCTTTTTCAGTTACTTCTAGTATTATCACAAGAAAGCTCTAACAAAGAAACCTATGTAGGATTTTGTCCAGAAAGTAATGAATTTATAATATTTTAATTAGTTTTCTTAATATTTGGTAAGTTCATGTGCGAGACAGCAGGTAACAACTGCGCTTACTTCTGCCATGAATTAAGTTACAGCACTTCCCTGAAATGCAGCCCAGGCAGATTTCTACTACTACACATGCATGGGCAGGAGCGTGAGAACAATAACGTAGCATGGACTGCCCTAACAGAATGTACTGTTTAATATTGCTTGCCTGCATGTACTCATGGTGCAGCTCTTCCGTATTCTTTTTTGAGAAGGATAGAGAGGTGTATTTCCCACAGAGGATAGCCAATAACCAGTGTATCTTTGCTTTTTAAACAGGTTAAGTTTGATTGAACCGGGCCCCGTGGTTACAGAGTTTGAAAGAAAAGTGTTTGAAGATGGAATGAAAATGGATCTTTCAGCTGCAGATGAGGAAACAGCTGAGATGTTTACTAATATTTACCTTAAAAATTACAAACAAATTTTCCAGAGCCTGGGACAAAGTGCTGAAGATGTTGCAGAGGTAACTCATCAACAATTCTCCCATCTTCTTTTTTATTGATTTTTTTTTTTCCTTTGTAATTTACAAATGCACTGGTTGATTGGGGGGTTTTGCTGGTAGAAGCATTAGATTTAATTAAATTTAATTCACACAATTTAAAATTACTTTTAAAAACCCAAGAGAATCTCAGGAATTTTAAACCAAACCCTTTAGAATATTAAAAGAATGTTCATTTTGAAGCAGTGAAGACAGCCGTGAACTGTAATTTAAATAACACTGAGGTGTTAGATTCATTTATCTGGTGAAGTCTGGACATTCTGCAGTGTCACCATACATCTACACAGGGTTCCCACCACTGTTTACAGCCGCTCTCCTCTCCGTCTCACTAGTAATCCCACTGCTAATGCCAAATTCACTCCTGCAGGAAGACAAGTTTAGGCAAGCTGTGGAAGGGGACAATGATTTCAGGTGCTTGCTGGTAAAGAACAGGTCGTTCCCAGATCTTCCTGCAAAGTGCACTGTTCTGATCCTTTCCCAGTGAACGGTAAAAGAACGGATCTACCTACTGTGGGCATACAGGCATAATTTTGGAGGACTAATTATGATACTTAGGTGTAAGGTTCTATCACCATAGTACAGATAAACAGAAATAGGAGTAAGTAAGAAGTACTTAAAGGCTTAAAAATATTTTAAGAAAAAAATATAATGAAATTCCAATAAAAAGATGTAAAGGTTTTACATAATTCTAGCACTTCATTCTTCTACTTTTCCTCTGCTTAACTGAAAACTAGGTTTTAATTTATAGTTTTGTAAAGGCTCTTTAACAATTCTGTTTCTCATTCTTGACAGCATACGGTAAAGATAATTCTTGCAGAAAATCCACCATTTCGCCATCAGACCAACACCTTGTATACTCCAATGACAACCCTAAAATATGCAGATCCAAATGGAGATCTACCCATTGATATATTCTACAAAATGGTTTTTCATCATGACAAAATCTTCAGTGCAAGTCTTAACTTTATCAAGTTGCTAAGGTGGAGAAGTAGAAAGAGCTTTGACCTGGGAAAACCCTCACAATAAGGATGAGATTATATAGTGCAAGTTGGAATTACTTGTTGTAGCTACTGATAATGCAGTGTGCTGTTATTCAAATGCCTTTGCTCTCTAATTGTGAAAATGCATTCAAGGTGTTTATTTGAGCTTAGCTAAGATATTCAGCTCAATGCGTGTATCTTGAACTTTACAGTTTGCAGAACCTTGAAACTAAAATCCTCTAACTATAGGTTTATTCTGTTTAGTGTTTGCTTTTTAGAGAGATCTGTTTTCATGGGAACATAAACATTGACTGATACTTGGATATTCGCTATTAACCCAATCCCCTTCACGTCTTAGAGTATAATACATACTGAAATGTGTATTGTATGTAAATTATTTAGATTGTTAATATTATAAAAATATTTTAACTTTTTACTTATTAAAATGTAATAGAATTAGTATAGTAATCAATCACAATAGAATTCTCATTTTCAGAAAGCAGGTCTATTTACCAGTAACATAAAAAAAACACTCATCAATCTTAAAATGTCACAACTAGAGTATTTATGACTCATATGTATGTTATAATATTCTGAACATGCAGCGTTTACTGGCATATTACACATAGTGGACAATAAAACATTTTTTAAAAGCATCTCAAAATAAAATACCTTCTTACTGTCTGGCAACTACTAATTTTTTTTTGCAAAAATAACGAAATATTATCCGGAAGAATAATTTAAATCCATTAAATGCCCTAAGTGCCTTGAGCGGCTGAAGCTGAGCCACAGGCTCTCCTTTTCCAAGCCATCCTAGTAAGAACTTATTAAACCAAAATTCTAGCATGAGAATAAGGTCTTTTCCCTCTCTTTCTCTCACCCTAGTCCTACAAATCAGCTGTGACTAAGCTGGGGGCCTGGATTTAAGTGCTCTTCCTGCATGGCATCTTTGTTCTCTGACCTCCAGCCTTGCCTCTGGGTGCTGCCCTAGGCTGAGATGAAGGGCCAGTGCCCCTCAGGCCTCTGGGCTGCAGTTTCTCAGCACGTTCCAGCAGCAGCCCTGGCTTCACTTGGAGAGCCTGGCTGGAGCTCACTGGGCATACAGGAATTGGTGTTCTCTTTCCTTGGATACTTTCTTACTAAGCCTGAATCTAACTCCGTGCTGGGACTTGCCGCGGCCCTGCCCTGCCTCTCCCCAAAGGCCAGCTGAGGGGAGCCAAGCAGCCCCTGCGTGGGCAGCTCCTGTGGGTATCACACACGTCGGGTAATGCTGGGCTTGCTCTGCAGTTGTGACCCTTTGGAGGGGCCCAAGGTGTGGGGGTGCACAGGGACCTCCCTAGGACCGTGTGGGAAATGGAAGGTGGGTAAGCAGGACTGTAAACACGCTTAAGTGACCTGCATCTGGGGTGCTGGAAAACACATGTATCACACTAATCGTTGTTTAGTCTTGTGTGCTCGACAAGTAGAACATGTACACTCAGATAACACGAGCCTCTGATGGACTCAAGAGGCACCTTATCAGACATGCCTGAGATTCCCGCCCTGTTGTCAGGGAAGATCAAGGTGGAAATACAGTGGCAAACTATGCCTGCTTCAATCCCTGAAATACAGGCGAGAACGGCAGTTTCGAACGCTCTCTCCAACAAGGATCAAGCTCTGTGGTGCCCACATTCCTGCTTGTATGCCTCTGCCCAGGTGCTGCTTCAGAAATCCCCTGCTTCATAAGGTATCGAGATTAAATTTACTCTTTGCATTTCATCCGTGGTTTTGTGGTTGTTCCCGTGCCCTGTGTTGGCTGACACAGACCGCAGGCTGGGGAGTGCCTGGAGGACAGAGCCTGAAGCAGAGCCAGATACTTCATTTATGATCCACTTGTTAACCCAGACCTCCTTCTCCAAAGCACCCGGCTGGTGCCCGCACCCCAGCATCGCTGCAAGGATGGGGCAGAGGGGGCACAGCGGCGGGGCTGCGCAGGGGAAGGCAGGCATTCAGCGACAGCAGCGTGCTGCCAGGCCTAAGGGAGCACTGCCACCCCCCCCTCCGCACCCGGCGGTAGCTATAGAGGGACTGGGCCGCTGCCGGCCGAGGGTTCAGCGCGGGGTTAGGGACTGGGCAGAGACGTCCAGAGAAGCCCCGAGCCTGTCAGCGGCGCGGGCTGCTGCGGGAGCCTCCCCTTTCCTCCCAGGATGGCTTAGGCCTGGCTGCCTCGGGGTTGGGCTGCCCTACTGGGCGTTTCTCCGCCGCGGAAGCGCGGCGCCGCGGCGGGGTCAGGGAGCAGCTCTCGGAGGAGACGCCGGGCCCTGCCGGGCCGAGGCGGCCGGAGCCCACACGTGGCACCGCCTCACGGGCCGCGCGCCGCCCGCGCTTCCGGCGCTCACCGCGGGGAGGGGGCGGGGCCAGGCGGCGGAAGCGTGTCCCTGCTTCCGGCGGAAGCGACGTCCCTCGCAGGTCGAGCCCGCAGTCAGAGCGTTTCCGCCTCGCGGCTGCCCTCACCGTGGGGCCAGGCGCCGCCGCCGCCGAGGTGTGAGGGCGCCGAGCCGTGCTGCCGGCGGGTAATTTGGCGTCTCGCCTTCCCTCAGGCTGCTCATAAGGCGGCGGCGCCGGCGCCCGGAGGATGTGGCAGAGGCGGCAGTGGCAGGCGCCGCGGCCGAGGGCGCCCTGAGCCCCGAAGGAGCGCTTCCCGGCTCCGCTCACCGGTGGCCCGGCCCGCTCGTCCAGCGGTCCCCTCCGCCGCGTCGACCCCCCGCGGCAGCGCCCGCCCCTGGCCGGCTCCCTGCGCGCTGGAGCCCCGCGCCGTGGCTGAGAGGGAGCCCGTGAGCGCGGGAGCCGAGCGCCTGTCGGGGAGCCAGCGGCAGCCAGGATGGCCTCGTCGTCGGGAAACGACGACGACCTCACCATCCCTAGGGCTGCTATCAACAAGATGATCAAAGAAACGCTGCCCAACGTCCGCGTGGCGAACGACGCCCGGGAGCTGGTGGTCAACTGCTGCACTGAATTCATCCACCTCATCTCCTCCGAGGCCAACGAGATCTGCAACAAATCGGAGAAGAAAACCATCTCCCCGGAGCATGTCATACAAGGTAGGCTTCCGGAGGCGGTGTGCCGCTGCCCGGTGCGACACGGGTCTCTCAGCCTTTGGGCTGCTCCTGCCCCCGTGCGACTTCTTCCTCTGTGGTTCCTTGTAGCTACGTAAAAGACAAAAGGCAGAGATCTGCTAAGGGTCTGGAGGAAAAGTATGTGTTGTCTGGCTTGTCAGTCGCGTTGCGAGGGAGGGTTGTCTTTGTGTGGTTAGAGTGACGGTTGAGTGTGCTCAGGACCAGCCCTCATTTTGTGGTTCAGTGAAGTCTGTGATGTTTTGAGTGAAGTCACCAAATCCATTTGTCTTTTTCATACCTGTGAAATGAGGTCTGTTTTTTCAAGGTTATGAAGTTTTCTTTTACAGTATGCTTTGAGATTCTGGGCTTACTAAATGTCTTTTTAATTGGAGACTGACAAAAGAGGTGTGATTTGGTATGTGGGGCCTATACTTTAATCCGGAATCACCCTGTCTGGGTTCTCTACAGAGTAAAATACTCCTCTAGGGCTATCTTTGGAGTCTGATTGTCTAAAATTAAGTTTTTGTATCTGTTGTATAAAGCATTTAAATGTGACCTATGACCTCACATCTTTTTCTGCTGCTGACTTGCACTTCCCCTTGCTTGAATAAATGAAGTGTTCTCTCTCTGTCTCTTTTTTAATTTTCTTTAAATTCTGCACAAACAGGGAGATCCCTTGCCTCATCCTTTACTCTGCAACGGGCATCTCTTTTTCAGGAATCCTTTGCTGCTTAAGCAAAGGTGGTCAATACCAGTATCTGCTGCAAACAGATGTACAGCAGTAATAGTGAAAAAACACTTTACTCTGCTGCCTGGTAAAGATAGTAGCATTTGCAGTAGAGCTATTTTCAGGACTGCAACGGTATCAAGTTAGTTTAAAAATTGTTACATTTTTTCATAATAATTCTGTTTGAAACAAAAAAAATCTGATTCCTTTGGATTGTAACAAGTTTCAAGTACTTGACTGGATTATGAATAGCAAAAGAAAATATGTAGCATGTATGAGTATGAGCTTTAATGTTAAATAAAATACGTGTGTATCTGGAAGCCTAGCAAAGCAACTCCAATATAGAAGCTCAGAATGTAAAGAGTAAAACTTGTGCTTGCATGTGGAAGTATATTTGAAGAAGCTATCCATGTATTTATCCCAAAGGACCATCAGAATATTTGAGCTGAGTTCTTAACACAGGAATAGACATGATCTTTAAGGTTGAGAGCAATAAACAATCCATGTATGAAAGATTTAATCTATTGCTGCCCTAGGATTAGTCTGGGTTTTTTGCTTTTGAAAACAAATGGAAAGGGAAATGTGTGTGTATATACGCACCTGTGCATGTACATATTATCAGCAGGTGGTCCCAAACCAAATACTTCGTTGGATTCTATGTCTTTGTGTTACCAGATTTTAGAGGTAGATCTAATTTGAAAATAATCCTTCCTGTACTTTTTAGTCAAATACTACTAAGGAAGACTTTGGAGATGTATCAATTTTTGTAATGCTCTAGAGATGGAAGGATTTGCTCATGAATTTTTTTGCTGTTCTTATCTTTAGGGATGTATATATGCTATTAGCTTCTTCCAGATGCTGGTCAGTTGGCAGGTGGTCCCTCTGTGAAGTGTGAGAGTTTAGATCACTAATTTTGGAAACAGTGGTTAAATGCATATAGGCATAGCATTTTCATCCACCTGCATACATTCTAGACACTTGATGTGTTGACTGCCTCTTAATGTAGCTCCATGACAATGATGCTAGCAAATTAAGTAATCGAAATATGTTTCTTGTGGTCAGCCAGATATCTTGTTCATTTGAAATGGTTAAACCAGCTCATTTACAAGTAAAATGAGGTTAATGGCCTTACATCACACCTGGTCCCATCTAAACACAGGCTGCTCCCAAGAGGAATCTTTTTGTACCCTCCCTAGAGCTGGATCTAGCAAGTGCTGATCCAACTGACCCTGTTGCTTTTTGAGAATCTGGGGTGGAGCTCCGTTTTCCGTCAGGTGAGTTTGCTGATCTGGCTGTTCCTGTAAACAAGAAGTTACTAGGTTGGAAGCAAGAAGGGGGAAGGGTATTTTGCTGGGAGGGAGGAAGGGGAAAGAGGCACTGCGGTTGGTGACACCCTACCATTGGATTGTATTAGAGGTAATGTGAAACTCCACTTGCCACTGTACTTAGGTGTTTGGCAGCAGTGGTGCTTAAGACACCCTTCCTTTGCTGCACTAGTGAAAATGATTGTGTGGCCACATGCTAAGCTAGAAGTCTTTCCCCTGGCCACTGGGTTACCCTTCAGATAGATGGAAGCCTGCCATGTTTCATTGTGTGGTAGCACAAACACTTGACTGGCACAGTGCAGTCAACATCATAGGGAAAGGAGAGCAGAGGCTTCTTGCATCCCATGAGAGGTCTGATTTGGTAGATGTACTCAGACTGCGCCAGGCCCTCACTGTTAGCACAGCAGCTTCCCTGGAGAGTACCCAGCGGCACCAAGGCTACGCAATAGTCATAAGTGGAGATAGTCTCTGTGTTTATTGTTGCATCTCACC